CCTAACTAGACGGTGAGGTAGAAGGTCGAGGGCCATTGCTTGAGTCTAGACCGCACCGGAGAGGGAGAAGCTTCGCGAGCTCCGTCCGTCATGGAGAACGAAAAGAGCCCGAGCCATTTGGAGACAGCAGATGCTGTGGAGGGTGAGGAGGTGGAGAGGTAGGGGTGTTTTCACGTCGTGGTGGTGGTGGTGGAATTTCTCAGGGACTGGGGGAGGAACAGCTGTTACGCGCCAGTGTTAGCAAGCCTCGCGTGTCGTGACTTGATGTTGGAAATGTTTGGGTGCGTTTCGCGCATCAAGGATGAACACAGCCTGCCACTCTGAATAAAATCTGAAAAATTTGAAGGTGCGTCAGATGTTAAGTAAGACTGTGTTTTTTCTGTGTGCGGCTGCTACACTTACAACGTGCCCTTTCATTGGTGCATAGACGTTGTTTGATGGGCATCTCTTGCAGATCCTTTGCATTTAGATCAGTATTTCTAGAGCTGTGGGCGACGCTGCTCACATCAGATGGAAAGTCTTGGCTCTTCTTTTTCCAGGACATTGGAAGTGTGATGAAAGTTCAAGGCCTTTGGCTGATTAACAGATAACGAAGCATTAAGCAGACTTCCCTGTTTGTGTGAGTGCCTGTTGCAGTTGTGATACCCGAGCTGCATACAGTGGTTCCAGAAGGTTTGGACACACTACATATACGGTATTAAGTTCATTGTGTTCGGAAACCAAGTGACATTCATTTTAAACAGACCATTTCAAGACTGTTTTCTTCTGCAAAGTTTTTTTTGGCTGTTGCGTTTCAGATCCATTTGAGCAGTTTCTTTGCAGTCGTCTGTACGTTTGCATCCAAAATCCCTTCGTGCACTTCTGAGTTCACGATCTCGCTGGTTGGAATTGGGGGTGGGCGAAGAAAAATGGCAAAAATATATAATCGTGATACATTTCAACGATACGTATCACAGTGTTTTCACTCACAGACACAAAACACTGGTAGTGCCACATTTAGAAACGGACATCAAATGATTTTTATTTAATATTTTACATACTGAACTGCACTAAATCTAATCAGCACCAGTGCGCTCTCTGTTTTTTCAGACATATGTAGGTGGTCAGTGTACTTCAGGTATTGACGATATCCATGATATGCTCAGAAAAGCATGTTGTTTATCATAATAACAAGATTTTTAACGATTAAGATAAAATTTCATCATATTGGCCGCCTCTAGTTGGAACTGTTCTCTACACTCTTAAAAAAGATGGTGCTTCAAAGGTTTTTTAGTAAAGAAAATGGTTCTATATGGAACCGTGAACACTCAAAGAACACTTTGCATAACTAGGATTCTTTGCATCATGAAAGGGTTCTTCAGATTGATGGAAAATGTGCTGTAGATGATTCTGTATAGTACCTTTTTTTTTTAAATGGTTCCATATCGCACTCAAAAGAGTTCTTCTATTGTTACGATGTCAAGCTTGAGAACCGTCTATAGCACATTCAATCTGGAGAACCCTTTAATGAGGTATTGGACCCTTTAATCATGCACAGGGTTCTTTGAGTGTTCATGGTTCTATATAGAACCATTTTCTTTGCTAAAAAACTGTTTAAAAACCATCTTGTTTTTCTCTGAAATAAGTCTCATTTTATTAAACCTTTTATTTGTGAACTTCATTTAAAGTTTACCAAAAGTTCAAGTATCCTTAATTAGTGATTCAGATTCGTTTACTTATTGATAAGTTTAAATTAATCATATTAATCATATTTGCTGTACTCTTTGGTTGTTTCGCTACCTTTAACCTCTAAAAAAACCTTTCCTGAACCAGCAGCAACCAGTTAGATTAATAATCCACATGTTTTCGTGTTGCCAGCTTGTTGGACTGTAATCTTGATTATGAAACGAGGGCAGTTATGAACGTTCTTTGATTTTAAAATGGCTGACTGTTCACCAGCAAAGCCCACAGGAGGAGGAAGCCGACAGTTCAAGGCGAGGTTTTTTTGTTTTCTAAGCTGACGTTTTGCTGCCTAGAACAGGATGTGGTGATGCACCTATTTCCTCATTAGCATTCCCTCAACAACATATGGCTTAATTGATTCCTGGTAATGACCTGGTTTATAAGAATGCCATTTTACAGTAGAACTGCACTGCGGTACTAGATCAGGCTAAAACTTCAGTACGTTTATTGCAGGCTTCCTTTATGCCAGCCTAGGTGCTGCTGACAAAGAGCTCAGCCTAGAGAACTCGGCCTGGCAGATTAACTCAGTTTTCATTAGACTCAAGAAGTGTTGCGGCTTCTTGTAGCCTAATGTGACGCATCGTATGACTTTAAGGAGCTTTAGGTTTTCATTACTATTGTTTTTTTCTTTTCAGAGGACAGGCTTTGTAGTTCGGACTCACTTTTAGCATGTACCCACACTCTGGGTTAACACGTCTGGTTAGCACTGTGCTATTGATGTGGTTAAGCTACAGAACTGCAAACAACCCACGGGAACTGGCTCATTTCTGATAAAGCGCACCAGCCGAGTTGTTCTCTATAAACACTTGCCAAGCTCGAACCACAACAATGCTAAGACTTGCTGAGTAGTGCAACACTAGCATCTTCTGCTGGGACATTTAGGTAATTTCCTCGATGTACATTGTGTGTCTGCATTTCTCCACTCAGCACATTGTTCAAGTTTACAGAAGTGTCCAGCATTATTCATGTTTAGTTAGTCACCACCTTTAACCTCTTTAACTCCTTGAGACCACCAGTGGTTCAAAAACACACTTCGTCATATTCTTCATAACTTTCATATTTCATAAGCTACATTCATAAGGTGGGGGTCATATGAGAGCTGTAACTGTCTTCTTTCCAGTCGAATAGATGGGTGATGTAATTTTAAACCCTTATAATAAAAGAAGCTGAACTCACTATTTTTTGTCTACTGAAAGTCGACCCATTTTTCCACAAATCTGGGCTATAAACTATAAACAGATGGCGTCTCTTCAGTGATCTGCTCTGTAAACATTATTTTTATAAAATAATACAAACAGTGTCTAAGATTTTTGGCTTTCAGCAGTAAATTGTAAGCATATAGTAATGTGTGTATGATCATAAAACATGTTCTGTTAATTTGAGGGGAGCTTTTGCAATGAATAAATAAAAAATAAATCAAAAAATAAAAGTTTACATTTATTTCATGCAGTTACTGAATAATGTGCCTCACGATTTGGTCGTGTGAATTCAGATGGACAAACCAAAATGTACCCCGGAGAATAAGAGGTTAAGTATTTCTTTGAGAGTAAACAGTCATGGCCTGATCTCACGCCCTTATGAATGCACCTATTGAAGTGGAGTGATCTGATCCCTGCTTCCCCATAAATGGCATGCGATTTGAATAAGGGATCACATTACAGCTGCAGAGAGCTTTTCATATGAGCTGTAGCTGCTCGCACTCAGAACTGGAGCTTTTTTCCTCTTTGTTAACTTTCTGGAGGTGTAGCATTTATCCTAATGAGCTAAGAGTTACTCAGACACTGTTTCAGCCCCCCGAGGCCAAAGACCTACTTTTTCTTGGGTCTCTTCATCAGTCATGACACAAGCTGTGGGGAACAGCCTGGTGCTAAAGCCAGAGACAAGCAAAGGCCTCACAGCCTTACACAAGGTCAGAAGTAGGACAGAGAGCGCACAAATTCATGAAATGATTCAGCGGATTCACACTTTATGATGACACTAGCCTTCCCCGTCTTCGCTGCCATGATTATCTGTATATAGAGCCGTAGAGCCAGCCCACGTCAGTGGAGGAGGGGTGACGCCAGCCTTTCAGTCTGCACATGCGCCCACACATTTAAATATGTGGCGTGCTGTGGGCATCGCCTGGGGAGGAGGGAAAAAAGCAATGCAGGAAGCTCTTAAAGGGAAAATTCCACTGATTTTATGTAGGAATAATAATTTGAAAATGCGCAGAAAGTTGCAGCTGTTCTGAGCAATAATGTAGTAATGTTATAACTGAAGTTTGGGGGGAGGAACATGCCTAGAACCCCTCCTTCTTCCAATCTGACAACCTAAAAAACTCACCTCCTCACCTTCTGTTCAATCTGGCTCAATCAGTCAATCAACCTTTATTTAACCTCGGAGAACATTGAGGGTGACCCTCAGTTACAATGTTGCCAGGTTGATATAGGAAAAAGGGATTGATAATGTGTAAAACGTATAAAATAATAAAAATAAATTTAATAATAAAAATGACTCAGATGAGGAAAGTATAAAAAATGAAATGTCGATAATAAAAAGACAAAATAATCGTAATTAAAAAAAATTAAAGCATAACTAAAATGTAAAAGTTAATGAAAGCAAAATAAGCTAAATAAAACAAGGAGGATAATATATATATATATATATATATATATATATATATATATATATATATATATATATATATATATATATATATATATAAGATATATAATCATAATTAAAACAAAAATTAGAATATGAGTAATAGTAAGTAAACAAACTCCCTCAATCCCTTCGTCTTCCCTCATACTACCACCACCATGTTGAAGGCATGGTCACAAATTGAGATCTACATGTGATTATTGTCTATAAATGCAGGACTTTCTTCTTCAGCAAAAAGACCAGCACGTCCATTTCTTTGAATAATGTAGGCTAGAAATTGCCGCTCTTGCGATTACCAAACTACTCTTTCGAATTGCAATTTCAATAGAAAACGCAGTAATTGTTCCGCTCTACTCAGGAAAGTGCACTTCCTCTTGGAGCTGAGTTAACAGAGCTTGTTACTGCCCCCTTCTGCTGACGCTCTTGCTCACGTCTAGTGAAGAACTTGCACCATTTTCATTCCACGACAGCGATTTCAGCCTCATATTTCAAAGAAAGAGCGATGACACTCTTTGAAGGAAAGAGATTGTGATCTGGATTGGGATTGCAGCACAAAACGGAAATCACATACTTTCAACAGTCCTCCACAGAAGTGGGGGCTTCCAAAGAGAGCAGGAAGCGAAGCACAGGAAGCTGACGTTTACTCCCACTCCCTGCTGTCTGTATCCCACTTTCTTCCTAGCTAATTCTGGGGGAGAGCGGGTCTGTCATTAGCCGTACTCCACCCAGGAGCGCCGGGTCTGTTTTCTTTTTTAAGGGCCTGTTACAGCATTCGGGTTCTTCAGGAAGTGCTGTCTGAAAATCCTGCTTTAAAAGTAAAGCATCCATTTTATCGGAAATAAAGCAGAACCAAGTGGGTGGGACTGAATTGAGCAAGTCCTCACCTGTGTGCTTGCACACGGGGCATTGTGTACATTTGTTAGAGGTGTTCCATTACATCGCGCCATGAGGTGTCACACCTTTTCGAGCCAGGCCCCACCTCTTTTAAGAATTTGCATTGTGTGGAATCCGCTTTCACTCTGCACACGCAGTACCAGGTTCACCGTCTTAGTTTTTGTTTATATTCTACCCAGAATTTTATATAATAAGGACTTATACCAAGTGGCTAGTTGGACGAATTAGCGGGAGATGGCGTGAGACCAGCTTCTTGTTTGTTTGTTTGCGACCTAAAAGGATTACGTGCTATGAATAGGTCTCTGAGTTTGAGATTATCCAGACGGTTGGAGAATCATGTGTACAGGTAAGGAGTAACACCTCCAGAAGTACTAGACCCAGTGATGCGCCTTGGGAGAGCAGCTTTTGATTTGAGATTGGACTGGGCCATCATTTTTAATTCTATTTTTTATTGTTTTAGAAGGTCTTCTTAAGCAGCCACTCTGCGGAGATTGGTAGGAAGATGATATGTGGCCTTGATGTTGAGATAAGTACGAGACCAAGGGGTTTACGGCATCGGTAAAGCAAAGTTAAACAGACAATAAAAGATGACTGGAAGTGGGTTAGTCAGCCTTTTCATAAAAAGGCATGTGACGTTGTTAGTCATTCCGGGCACACGCTCTGATTGTCCGTCACTGGAGGAAAAAATTGAACTTTTTTGAATGTCAGAGAGATAAGCAGTTCCCGGCACTCACTTCTGACTGATCTGCTTTGAAAGTGTGGGATTATGAAATGTTCTAAATAAGGCATGTAAGAATAGCGGTCATTGTCTGTGGTGGAAACTGTTATATCACCTAAATGGTCACTATTTCCAGACTGTTATTACTGTATTGATGTTAAGTAACTGGGTTTGTCACTTTTAGCCCTTAGTCTTTTTATTTGTTGTGGAAATGGAAGGGAAGACCATTGTTATTGCTTTTCTCACTGTAGATAGATAGATGGATATCTGCAGATAATTGTTAAAAATATGGATAATTTAAACCAGTATTTGATGCGTTCGTTGTGGTGGGGGAGAAAAGAATGTATCTAAGCTTAAACGCTGGGCTGTTGTACTGACATTTCTGCATTTTATTCACTTTACTGCATTTTAACTTCATACAAATCAATATTACATTAGTCTGTAATGCTAATCCGAGTATTTCTACATCTTATAAATGTAGCATCAACAGATATGTGCTTGAAAAATATCAGACATCAGAACTGAATTCCTGTATCTGTGCATACAAAATACGTAAACATGGAAAACATAAATACCTGCCTTGATAAATGTAGAACTACTAAATGATTTTAACATTCAAAACAAAGACATTTAATAGAAGAAATCATATTGGAAAACCCATCTGGAATAAAAGAGTCCCTAAAAATGTTCCTTGCAGCCTCGGATTGCCCATAGTGCCTCTCTGAAGGGAGCTTGACACATGAACTAAATGCTGATATGCCTCTTCTCTTCCGTAGCTACCAGCCAGAGACCGGCACGCTCCCTGCGAAGATGAAGAAGGGGAAGACGAAGAAGAAGCTGGAGCCCAGGAAGGCCCTCAGCCTGGAGGAAGCCCAGCTGGAGCTCCAGCACCAGAGCAAGAGCTTGAGCAGGCCGGCCCTGCCCAGGTACAGCACCTGTTATTGGAAGGCGTTTAGTCGTTTATTTTCTGTTTTGTTCTTAAACTCTCCAGGCCTGAGTCAGTGCTTAATCATCTGGAGCCACCGTAGCCAAGGTTTTAGAGGCTACGTGGCAGCTGTGAATAGAAAAGAATGTGAAGAGTCTGTTTGAAGTGTGCATTTTTTTCTTTGTCCTCAGGTCTCTGACCGTTGGAGGAGAAAGGCCTTTGGAGAGGAATGACAGCATCAACTCAAACAGTGTAAGTTTGCCTTATACTAAAGTATAACTATGGAGCTTGAAGCTGCTTTTACGGCCTAATTTTTCACGTTTGTTTCTGTTCTCTTCCTACAGAGCTTTGTCAAGCACAACAAAACGTTCCACAAACTCTTTCCCGATATCCCTGAGAGCGAAGACTTGCTACATGGTGAGAGATCATATCGATTAGATATCTATAGCACAGTTTACTTTTACCTTCAGTCCTTTCTGTCTTAATCACGTATGTAGATCTATAGCACTGATTCCCCACCTTCTAAATGCATAGCCTCTGTTTTGCTATGGTAACTAATGCTAGAAGAACTCAAAGCAGGAGGCAGTTTGTTCGGACTGACCTTTCACTTAATTGCCTCGAGCTTTTAAACAATAGTGCAGGTTAAGCAAAGGCTGAGTGGAGGTGGGGCAGCTGCAGCTGACAGAAAGGCTGTAATCGCACTGCGACGTCACACCAGCCTCAGAGTCGCTGCATCAGGCTTTTGTAACCTTGTATGTGTGCGCGTGTCTTTCCAGCCTACATCTGCGCCCTGCAGAGAGAGGTGCCTTACCACGGTCGTCTCTACATCACGGACAGTAACGTGTGCTTTCACTCCTCTGTGCTCCTCAAGGCCACCAAGGTAAATAATATAGGCCAGCTGACCTTTGGGATCATAGCACAGTCAAATTAACTGGCAAACAGCAGGTGCAGTCATGAGCAAAGGAAATGGGTCACTCATTAAAAGATGTTTTTCAGTGAGTGGAGCAGTCATTGAACTTGTAAATGTATGTTAGGGACAGTCTTGACTACCCTGGTCAAATTACAGGGAAGATACTTTAACGTGGCATATCATGCAAGTTTTAGTGCACAATTGCTGTGTATTATGAGTTTAACTGTATACTGGAAAAAGGGTATGTATAACTGAATCGGTGCGTCTCTTATAGGTGGTGATACCTGTATCCGCTATCCATGTTGTGAAGAAGCAGAACACAGCTCTGCTGGTGCCAAACGCCCTGTCCATACGCACCAGCATGGGAGAGAAGGTCAGTCTCATACACATTCTGCGCTATGATGAACAGAAAAGTCCACCTGCATAGCTAGAGCTGCAGAACATGTGCAAAACATTAGTGTTTCGATTACACTTCACATTTACCTCATATTGAGCCGTACAGTATGTTAAAAGCGCACTGGGTTAAGCAGTATTGTGACATAAAGGGCCCATATTATGGAAAACTGAATTTCTCTCTATTTTGAAAGGTGTTTGAAGTAATTTGTAAATGAAGTAAAAACGTACTGTCCACTCCCCAGTCCTGCAGTCCATATATAGAAAAGCTGCAAGAAATTGCCTGTTGGGAATTCATTGTTTATGTGATGTCACTAGAACCAACTCATTTACCTCTACTTATTCAGTTTAGTCCCGCCCCCTCATATTGAAGCTCTAAGGAGTGTTTCAGAGCTCATTTGTCTTATGTCAATCTTAACCAAAACCTGTTTAATTCTAAGGGATAGGGAGAGGTCAGCAAATGGCTATATAAAAATGAATTATGACCACTTTAAATGCTTTAATTTGTTGTGTAAATATCCTTATTCATCAACACACCCACAAAAACACTGCTCTGAAGCTGTGATTGGTCAGGATGCCTTTAGCACACAGCAAAAAAACATTCTGAATGGTTACACAGCTCTTTACCATATTGCTGCCTCCTGTATTGCAAAGGCTAATATCACAGTGCCGACTTAACAAACGACACACAGTGCAGCCCAACCTCGGTCAAACTTTAAAAAGGAAACTATGTGTAATTAGACAGCCATGAAACCACAGCGCAGAACCCACAACTGCTTATAAATAGTGTAGTTAGAAAAGAGCCTTAAGTAGATTACTATTATTATGTAGCAAAGTGCTGTGAAGGGCCTTCCTCTTGAACCGTGCTTGTGTTTGTGTTGCAGTATTTGTTTGTGTCCTTGCGGAACCGCGAGGGCTGCTACAAGCTGCTGCGGTCAGTCTGCCCCCAGCTAGAGGACGGCAGCACCAACAGCAGTCCACTCTTCTCTTCCCCCGAGAACAGCTTTGATCACAGCAAACTGGCGGTGAGTATCTTAGCCTTGTACACTCTCTATAACTGTGGTGTTCTGTAGGGATGGAAACGTGCATGAAGATAAACTGATCTTGAAATATATAATAATATTCAATAAAACGTGCGCTCACTTTGTGGTTCAAAATGACATGCTTGAGCAATTTTCAGACGTAAAAATCCTAAACGCTTGGTGTATTTATTTATTTTAAATAGTTCCTCCAGTCCCATTCAGTCTGTTTTATTGAAATAATTCTGAATCCAAATAATTGAAGGAAATCGCTGTAAAATTTGATTTGAAAAATTTCATGCACTGAGTTGTTTTTTAACTGAACTGGGTAGTCGTGAGGTCAGAGATTTACCCCCCTTAGGGTAGTACTGGATGTTCTAGCCGTGGCTAAATACCTGTGTGTGTTTGCAGAACTCCAGCCAGTCCAGTTTAACCGATGCCTATGAAGAGCTGGATGGTGCAGATTCAGGCCTCGTGCTACAGCCCCCTCCTACTCGACTTAACAGAGGTAAGAGAAAGTACATATGCACACAGATTCTCACACATCAGCCTGCCCTGGTGCCCTGTAGAGACCCAGTGGAGCATGGTGAAGACAGCTTTTTACCGCTTTATTATACCTTTTATTATAGATTAAAGATTAGAGCTGGTCATCATGGTGTGTGTGTGTAACACCTTGATACTTCAGGGCAAGTTGGAATCAATAAAAAGGCTAGATTTGTGGCAGAATCAGCAGAATCAGATTGGATTCTTTTTGTCCCCCTTCTGATGTCAGATCCATCATTTTCTACCCAGTATTAGATCTGCGTTCAGTAGCACACAGTGAATTTTTGAATGCTTGTGTCTTATAGGTACAGTATCAAATGGAAGTCCTTCCACCTTGAGAGTTCCTCACAGAGAAGAAGATGAGAGTTCCACTGAGGAGTACTCAGGTACAGCATACGCACACGTTTGAACAAAAAAAATGCATAAATATTATGAGTGATTATTGCATTGGTTGCTCATTTAGGCTTGTGTCTGTTTGTAGGGACGTCATGGGTGTGGAGTGTGACTGACAGGGCCAGATCAGTGCTCATTCAGAGAGAAGCCACCAACCTCAACACACTCCTGCTTATCTACTTAATGCTGTGAGTTCATTCACACCCATACTATATCGCTGTTGTTGGAACAAAACCTCCTATCTCCATTTTTGTTGTTTTTGCAGTTTTTGACATAATTAAAAAAAAAATATCTGTTGCCCTTTATGATGTTGGTAAATTTCATGATGAATGGACCAAATTAAATGACCCAAAATTACTTGGTAAAAATTCTGGTTCCATTGACTTACATTTAAAGTAAAGTAGTTTTTTTCCTTCTCCTGTAAAGTTACCATTTTGGAGATACAAGGTTTTGTTCTGGTTTTGTTATATATATATATATATATAATGTGTGTTTTTTAACTATGTAATAACTAATTTTTGTTGTTTGTGTTGATAGGGTGGTGCTGCTACTCTTGTCCTCTGGTTACATCGGCCTGCGTATCGTGGCTCTAGAGGAGCAGCTGACCTCTCTAGGAGCTCTGCCTGAATTCACTCTACATAGCGGGTAAGCTGCCATTTCTCACTCATATTAGGGGTGTAAAATAGATTATAATAGATAATAATATTATAGTAAAATTAAGAACAACGGACGATATAATTTGCTCGTTTACTTAATGTTACTGTTGTTTACTTGGTATAAGTCTGTGCGGTAATGTAGGTTAATGGTTGAAATTGTATTATCATAGCTACTCTTGAGTTAAGGTCGTAAAATTGCAAAAGTAGTGATTATAAGGGCTCCAATAAAGACATTAGGGGCCCCATTGTGATTGCAGCGCCACTATTGCCTGTAGTTGTATCACTGATTATAATCGATTATAACTGATAATTCCAAATCATTTTTTTTTTATATTTTCTGAATGTAAAAGTAACTTTTCCACTATAATGTAAATTGTTGGCCCAATCAGAGTTGTACCAAATTGAATTGAATCACACTGAAGTCCTCTCTCACCATCGCTTACAGGTACAAGGACACGTAACCGAGCAGATTAAAGGAGAGATGTGTTGTCTGATGACCTCGAGGAGGAAAGGTGATTCCTGCCGATGTACCAAAAAAATCAACTCTGAAGTCCGCATTTCAACATTTACGAAATCCCACTAGACCCCAAAGTGCTGTGAAAGGCAGACCTGTTTATTTGTGGACCCTCATCGTCGTCGAATTCCAAGGAGAAAACCGCAGATAACCAAAGGGCTCCAGTGAAAATTGGACCTCAGCGAGTCACCTGAGGCTGTTGCTGCTGTGCTTTTCCCACAGCTGAACGGGGAAAAGTGGAGGACAGAGCCGAGCAGTTTCCTTAAAACGAAGCTGTTCATCACTGTATTCTATTCTTGGAGTTTTGTCTTTGCAGACATGATGGAGATTATTTATTGGTTCCACTCAAGTTCTACACTTTGCTTTACACGTTTAGATTCTTCTGCCCCGTCGCCACGACCGTTTGATTCTTTTTCCGCCTTCCGTCTTGATTTCCTTAACTGATCTGAATCTTTCAGGTAGTAAAACCATCCGAAAAGCGACACAATCACTTAAGCTCCTTTTGCGAAGATGATTTTTCTCTCTTTTTTTCAAACCAAAGGGTTGCAGTATTATACCTTGCTTTGACATGATTAAAAAAAATCTTTTTTTAAGGATCATTGCTTGTTGGCAGCCCTTTAGTCTTTTTTGTATTACTGGATGCATCTATGCACAAAAAAATTACGATCAGGTTTTTGAGAAAAGTTTTATAGTCTTGTTTTTGTTCTATGTGTCTTTTATACTTTGGTCTACTTGGGTCAAAGTAGTTTGACATGATGCCTAATCAAATGAACTGTTTAAAGGAACGGCTGTGAAAGAACTGATGATGATGTCTTAGTTTCACCCAGAGGCACTGAAACGGCTCTCTATGCAGCCCAAGTGGGACATTTTTTCAGATTTACTACAAAAAAGAAAACAACTACGTTCACCATTTCTGGTGTGCTTGCATGTCGGTACCACCCGGAAAAAGCAGGTCTATTGCGGAGGTACTGAAAGACCCCCAAGCAGTCAAAAAAATGACAGATACTTGAGTCATATTTCAAGAACTGAGAAAAACATCATGGTCCAAAATATGCATGAGTAATTTGTGTGTTTGTGAGCGTGTTCGGTCCTTTTGGAGAATGTGTTGAAAACTGAGTGTCTTGTAATGCTTCAAGTGAATCAGTGCACTTTAATGTGTAAAGCAGTGGTCATTAAATCTGGTCCTGGGGGGCCGGAGTCCAGCACGGTTTCACAGTTTATGTACTCAAACCTCATCAATTAGTTAGTAGGAAAATGACCAAACTGTACAGAATCCAGTCCTCAGGACCGGAAGTGATGACCACTGGTGTAGAGACTGTACGAAGGCGTCATACTGTCCAGTGAGGAGGAGAGGGCGATCCTGGTATTGGCTTATTCAAGCTCCACCCACAAATGTGTTGTTTCGTAGCAACTGTTGCTAGGTGGGAGAAACTTTCAGGCTTTTCAGAACTTTGGCAAAAACTTGTTTCGTCTAATGACATTGTTTTTGTGAATTTCATGTTGAAATTATACATAAAATTATGTAATTTCAAAAATATATTAATTTTAAATCTGTAGGTTGGATCATGTTTAATTAGCTTAATGTAATCAAGCACGTATTGCCTATTTTTTTAGCCAACAGTCCAGTTCGGGAGCCTAGCGTTTTGAACTGAATACTTAATATTCTGTATTAATCTGATTTGAATATCTTCCTGAATAATGCATTTGTGGGCGGAGCATGGCTAGGTCAATTGTCGTTCATTCTGGAGTGTTAGATGGTGCTAAAGAGCCTTTTACTCAGGGCTGGGAGTTCATGAGCATGAGCTCCTAAAGCATCTCGCACTAAAGACCCTGTTCAGCTTTGTTTTGGTTAGCTTTGAGGGTCCGTCGACCCTCATCAGTGGTGCAGATCCTTATACCACTGCCTTCCATTCAGCAGACTGGGGTTCGGTTCCCCGCTCGAGCAGGCCTGCTACAGAGTCCTTGGGCTGGACTCCCAACTCCCCGAGATGCTTTCGGAGCTTCTGCTCTCGGCTCTTCTGCTGCTCCTTTTCTATTTCAACATTTGGGGTCTTCGAGTGCGTTGACTTGACAACATTTTTTAACTCCAGATGAGTTTATTAATAACTACCATGCCTGTGTACCACCTGGACGAATATGTATATGTTCCCAATGAAGCGGGTGCGTGTTGATTATCCCGCTGAACTGTTTCACAGTCTTCAGGCCAGATTTCCTGATGCAAAAATGATGGAATTTGTTTTTTTTTAAGCGAAGGTGCTCCGCCAGGCTTCTCTGTTGGACTATAGTGAAGTACTATTGCACATCGACAGTATCGAAAGAACATCGGACTTCAGTACCGGAGCACCTTCGTAGTCATAGTTAACTTTAAGTAACCACAATGCAAGAATCCAAACCGAGTGTATCATTTCTCTTATTTTGCACTATTCAAAGTGTTGTAAATAATATTTTGTATTGATTTTTGTCTTCAAAGAGTCCCCTTTGCTCTATTTATTGTATTCTGTGTAATTCAAAGTGGTCTCTGTGAGACTGGCTTTGACTATGAATAAATCAAATGATGGGGAAAAGTATGTACAGTGTCTTTTGTGTGATTTCATCAGTGACACACAGTTAAAGAGTAAATATGATTTGTTAGTTAAGCAGGCGTTGAGTGTTTGCTTTCACTCTATCATTTATCAGTGAGGACAGTAAATACACTCAGTGCGCCACCTGGAGGTCAAACCCAAAGCTCCCTGTGCAGAAGTTTCACTCATTCTTCAGTATGTTGGCTGGAACACTTGAGCCTGACCACGGTTTTTAATGTGAAACTGTTACAGATCAGCTGATCAGTTCATATTACAGGGCCTGCACTGCATCACTGTGCCTTTATTATTTTTATTTTCTTGTTCTCTTAACACACAACACAGCTCGAACCGCTTAACCGGCACTTCAACCCCATTTCGTAGATAATCTCAGTGAGATGTTTTCAGAGAGGTCTAGTTTTCATTTTGATAACTTTTATACTGTTTAAATATTTTAGACTAAAATAATTTCCTCACAGTCTGAATTCCAGCTGCCACAGATGATGATGTGCTTGAAGCTGATTGGCTGAGCTTGAAGTTTGAAGTTTAAACGCTTCTACTGTGCTCTGCTCTCCTTTACAGCCTTTTATGGCTTTATAAACTCATCTTAATCTCCTTTCTTTTCTTTCTTTCTTTCTTCTTTTTCTTTCTTTTTATTTTTCATTTCTTCCTTTCGTTCTTGTTTCTTTTTCTCTTTATTTTTTTCTTTTTCTTTCTTTGTTTCTTTCTTGTTTCTTTTTCTCTTAATTTTTGTTTTTTCTTTCTTTTTCTTTCTATCTTTCTTTCTTTCTTTCTTTCTTTCTAATGTCTTTTTTCTTTCTTTCATTCTTTCTTTCTAATGTCTTTTTTCTTTCTTTCATTCTTTCTTCATTCATTTCCTTCTTTCCTCCCTTCCATCCAGTCAGTGCAGACAGAGATTTTGTGTCATGAATGCTGAAGATTTTTAAAAGGAGAAAAAAAACCAGTAATTAACTTTTTCTCTTTTTATTTTTCTTTTCTTATTCTTTCTTTCATTCTTTCTTTCTTTCTTTCTTTCTTTCTTTCTTTCTTTTTCTTTCTTTCTTTCTTTCTTTCTTTTTCTTTCTTTCTTTCTCACTTTTTCTTCTATTTATCTTTTTTTCTTTTTATCTTTATCTTTCTTGTTCTTTCTCTCTTGTTTATTTTTCTTTCTTTCTTTCCTTCTTTCTTTCCCCTTGTAAGCTCTGTATTTCCTTCAGGAAATGTAAATCTAGTTTTTGTCGTCTGGTATCTTGAACACTCCTGGCTGAAAGGTATCCATAATTTATAGATCAGAACCAGCTTTGACTGGTTTCAGTTGAGTTTCACAGGGGTTTGTTCCAGTATCGTGTAGCTTCAGATCTCACTTAATGTGACGTGGGGCCAATTTGACTATTCTTATCTGCTCTGTCTCATTAGGACCAGAACAGTAAACCCACTTATTCCTCTCTGAGCTTCTAGAGCGCGCGACTGTTCTGTATCCGGCCTGCTACTCAGGAGGAACAGCAAGTAGATCATGTTCACTGTTGTTGAATGTTTCCTGAAGGAACTGCATATGAGGGATCCTTTAATTAGTATTTAGTAACTGTGGAGGGAAGAAAATAGAGGTGGGGGCTCTGCTCGGACAAGTCAGTGCAGCCAGAGAGTTTGTGTTATGAACACTGAAGCTTTTTAAATGAAGAAAAAACAGTAATGCAGTAAAAGTCATTTTCAGCGCAGCGTCCACTTACGATTTTACCTTAAAGCGCCTGAAATTCATTTACTGTTGGGTGCAAATCAGAAAGAGTACATACAGTCGGAGTGAATCAGCGCCATCTGCTGGCCTCCTTGACAAATGCTATAAGGAGTGGTTCTGTGATTTTTCACATAGTCCAGATGTACTAGATCAGCTGGGACGCATCCAAATTTTTCTTCTTTAGTTTAGTGCTGGAGCGATGAGGCTAACATTGCTAACAAACAGTATATCTTAATAGTCACCCAAATGTTTTCTGTGAATACATCCCCAAAACGTCTCTCAGCACCTGCATTAAGGTGGTTTAGGACACAATAAGACTCACTGTGAACTAAAAAAAACTTATTATATATCTCTCCCCCTTTTTCCTTCTTTTTATCTTTCCTCTCTTTCTTTTTCTCCACTTTTTCTTTCTTTCTCTCTCCACTGTGTCCTCCTTTCTTTCTTTCTTTCTTTCTGTTTCTTTCCTCCTTTCTTTCTTTCTCCCCTTTTTTTTCTTTCTCCACTGTTTCCTCCTTTCTTTCTTTCTCCTCTTTTTCTTTCTTTTGATCTTTTCTGTCTTGTTTTTTTTCTTATTTTCTTTCTCTTTCCTTTTATCTTTCCTTAATTTTTCTTTCCTTTCTTCCTTTTTCCTCTTTTCTATTTCTTTCTTGTTTCTTTTTCATTTTTCTTGTTTCTTTTTCTTTTTTATTTTTCGTTTCTTTTTCTTTCTCCTTTTTTCCTCCTTTATATCTTTCCTGATTTTTTCTTTCTTAGTTTCTTTTTTCTTTCTTTTTTTATCTTTTTCTTTCTTTCTTTCTTTCTTTCTTTCTTTCTCCCTTCTTTTTATCTTTCTTTTTCTTTCTTTCTTTCACCTTGTAAACACTGTATCTCCTTCAGGAAATGCATATCTAGTTTTTAGATGGCCAAAAGCGACTAATCTAAATATCAGAACCAGCTTTGACTGGTTTCAGTTGAGTTTCACACTCGTTGTCTTAAATGGCTGCCCGAGTTCAGCTTCGTTCATTTTATAGTTCAGTTTCCTACAGATCCACTCAGCCTTAATGAAGACCTCGCTGTGGTTTGAAGAGGCTGAGAGATGTTTTGGTGATTTATTTACAAAAAAAAGGTTTGGGTGACTCTTAACTCCTAGTGTTTGTTAACAACATCAGAATTGCAGCTCCAGTGCTAAACTAAAGAGGAAAAATTTGGACACCAAACGTGTCTCGGGTCATCGACACCGTCTGGGATATGTGGAAAATTGTTTATCCGTGCTGAGGGCCCGAAAGTGCCACCAAAGCTGCCCATAAACACAAAAAAACACCCACAGCATGAGTGATATAGCTTTGTATTAACTCAGAGCAGCTCAGTACAAATCAAAATAGTCCAAAAAATACTTTATTCAATCCAGATGCAGCGTCGCTTTTTCCAGAATACAAATACTCTAAAGAATTTTCCAGATTTTGAAGTCATTTTGCAGCAGCTGATCACTTTCATAGCCAGAGGTACGGTCCAGGAGTCTGGGCTAGTATTGCTGAAACTTCATGTGTCGCTCAGGAGAGATTTAACTGTCTGAAGCGTTTGGAGGCGCAGGCTCAGCAGCGTCCTTCTGAAAGGCACACAGCTGCAAAACACCTGGAGAAAAGCAGTGGAGAGAATATTAAGTGCACTCTTAATACATGTGTACAAAAAAATCTCAAAGACTGATCGTGCTCTGCTTGACGTAGGCCTACATGCTATTTTATATAGACAGAAACTATCTAGAACAGTGGTCTTCAATCTGTGGGCCACAGCCCCCCCTAGTGGGCCTTTTTTTTTAAATAGCTACATTTTATTGCAATTTATAGATATATAACCAAAGATCATTTTAATTATTGTTGTGACTACAATGTATAGAATTAAGAACAATTATATAAGTATAATTATATAATATATATTACATACACTCTTAAAAAAGGTGGTTCTTAAAGGGTTCTTTAGTAAAGAAAATGGTTCCATGAACACTGAAATAACCCTTTGCATGATTAAAGAGTTGTTTGCATCATGAAAGGGTACAGATTTCTGGAAAATGTACATGAATGTGCTATAGATATAGATATGTGCTATATACACACACAAACACACACACACACACACACACACACACACACACACACAATTATTGTTTTTAATTATTGTTTTGACAACAATCATTTGAATTCTGCTGCAAAACATCGACATAACCATGCCATAAACACATCACGGCAGATGTCATATGCTGTTCTGAGCTGTTATGACAGATTTTATTCCATAATGTAACATTGTCATGTTACCATTAGTGGTAACTGTCATGATGCATGACAGACATCAAACATTATGGCATCTGTTTTGACACTAAGAGTAACAGTAACATGACTGCCATTTACATTGCAGTCCAGGCCTGTTTTTTTTTGGCCATGATCATAATATCTACTTTTTCTAGCTTGGAGGCTCAAACACTGAACACTGTGTGCCAAACTGCCAGTTAGTCGTGGATGTGATGTCAACAGTATGCGGCTGATTTTGACTGGTCTACAGGCGGTTTGTGAGCTCTGTGTTATTAGCTTCAATTTTCCATTTAAACCTTAAGACAGCACTGTTGATAACGTAGACCGTATATATTTCAATACACAGCTCTTTCAAATTGTGCTTTTGATATAAAATGCTTTATCTTTCTGCCATAGCTTGATTATACAGTCAAGCTAAATTCCATAGGCTACATTGATTATTGTTATATTTGTGTTCATTTTAAAGGTCTGTGGAAAAATTACAGCACATTTCATATTTTAATGTTTCTTTTTCAATATGTAAAAAAACAGAAGCTGTACACCAAGGTTAGAGTGAAAATGCCATATTTATGTATTTATGTTTGTAGAAGATGTGCTATTTTTGATCAACAAAAAACTTGACCAGGGGTGTTCAAACTTTTAGTAAAGAAAATGGTTCTATATAGAACCATGAACACTGAAAGAACCATTTGCATGATTAAAGGGTTCTTTGCACCATGAAACGGTTCTTCAGATTTATGGAAAATGTGCAACAAAGTGCTATAGATGGTTCTATATAGAACCTTTTTAAAAATGGTTCTTTATAGTACCCAAAAAGATCTTCTATTGTTACAAGCTTGACATTGTAACAATAGAAGAACCTTTTGACGTGCTAGATAGAACCATCTATAGCACATTCTCCATCAATTGTTATATATAATATACATGTGTATATGTATAGATAGATAAATGGACAGACAGACAGACAGATAGATAGATATAAAACATTTTTTGTAGTTTTATTTTATAAATAAGACTCAGGGTTTAGAAGAAAGAGAGATAGAGAGAGAGAGATAGAGAGAGAGAGAGAGGTTTACCAGCTGCTAGAGCCAAAATGATGCCTATCCAGCCCAGGATGTAGGACCATGAGAACCTCCAGTCGATGTAGCGCTTTCCAAAGAAGTTAACAGTCACTCCAGTGTAGATTGCCAAAGCTAACAGCGCAAGAAATCCTAAACAACAAACAACGTCATTTATATATATAGACGGTATAATCAATAACTGATATTGAAGCTATGAAACTGCACTGAATCTAGGATTTATTCTCAGAATAAGCATCTTAAACTGGAATTCCTCAATTTCTTCCACATTTCTGAATGATTAAATAGTTGTAAGATGTAAACCAACTGTTCACAGTGGTGCTGATAGGAACCAGACATCCACCTCTAAAAGCTCCTTCACAGAAAGTTACTACATGAAATGGTTATGAATTCGCTGTCTGAGAAGGTTTTGACCTAAAATGTATTGGTATGTAACGCACATGCAGGGTGTTGCGAGGCAAAATAGTTCCCAAAGATTTCCCCCTATTTTACCATCACCAGCATTACATATAAAACTCAGAAGACTCGTGAAAGTTCACTGCTGGTTTTGGATAGTAAATAAAATGGCTATGTTTGAGGTGTAGATGTTGTGACCCCTGGTTCCTATCACCACCACTGTAAAGACATCAGGGTCACTATAATGAACTATTTCACATCAAACTACTCTGAATGACTTTGTTTACATCTCAACCACTGAATTACACAGAACTTTTTACGAATTGGTCTCCTTTAAGGAAGACTGACTGACTGTCTTCTAAGGGTGAGTAAACGGATAAACAAATGACTAATCTTAATTTTTCTTTCTTCATAAACTGATGGGTCTCATGAGAGGACACCCCCGGAAAAAACATTAGGATTTCAAACTGGAAATAAAGCATAAACAGTACTAAGTTAGTCATCGTCACATGACTTGAGAGGAAAATGTCACATTTGTTTATTTTTCATTTTATTTGACGAGTTTATTTGAGGGGTTTATAGACCTGAATGGAGTGAATGACTCTGATGTTCTGCAGGACTGTTTACCAAAGCTAATTCTGGACTTTCCCTGAGCTAAAGCACCTGATTCATGCGGTCAGAACAGTTTAATGATTGACCGATGAGCCGGATCAGAGTGAGTGACCAGCTTAAAAACAAATCTGTGAATATTGGGAGTTTAATTTACACGTAACTGTATAAAATTATATCCGCATGTTCAGATAAAAGTGATCAGATGCTCGTAAATGAACATGCATGTTTTAAACTTAGGTTGTATTTGTTGAACCTGTCCATGGTGTTTCCTGCCTTCCGCCCAATGAGCGCTGGGTTGGGCTCCAGCAGCCCCTGCGACCCAGGAGGATCAGCGGCTTAGATAATGTGATTGTGTGTGTGTGTGTGTGTGTGTTTGTGTGTTTATGTGTGTGTGTGTCTTTGTGTGTGTGTGTGTGTGTTTGTGTGTTTGTGTGTGTGTGTCTTTGTGTGTTTGTGTGTGTGTGTGTGTGTGTTTGTGTGTGTGTGTGTGTTTGTGTGTGTGTGTGTGTTTGTGTGTTTGTGGGTGTGTGTGTTTTTGTGTGTTTGTGTGTGTGTATGTGTGTGTGTGTGTTTGTGTGTGTGTGTGTTTGTGTGTTTGTGTGTGTTTGTGTGTGTGTGTGTGTTTGTGTGTGTGTGTGTGTTTGTGTGTGTTTGTGTGTTTGTGTGTGTGTGTGTGTTTGTGTGTTTGTGTGTGTGTGTGTGTATGTGTGTCTGTGTGTTTGTGTGTGTGTGTGTATGTGTGTCTGTGTGTTTGTGTGTGTGTATTTATTTAATGTACTGTAAATTAGCTTTAGCAATGTTATCAGTAATGTTGTTTATAAATAAACAAACTCGAGTGAGTGAGTCAGTGAGTGAGTGAATGAGTGAGTGAGTCAGTGAGAGTCAGTGAGTGAATGAGTGAGTGAGTGAATGAGTGAGTGAGTGAATGAGTGAGTGAATGAGTCAGTGAGTTTCTGAGTGAATGAGTGAGTCAGTGAGTGAATGAGTGAGTCAGTGAGTGAATGAGTGAGTCAGTGAGTGAATGAGAGTGAGTGAGTAAGTGAGTCAGTGAGTGAATGAGTGAGTGAGTCAGTGAGTCAGTGAGTAAATGAGTGAGTCAGTGAGTGAGTGAGTGAATGAGTGAGTGAGTCAGTGAGAGTCAGTAAGTGAATGAGTGAGTGAGTCAGTGAGTGAGTGAGTAAGTGAATCAGTGAGTAAATGAATGAGTGAGTCAGTGAGTGAATGAGTGAGTGAGTGAGTCAGTGAGTGAATGAGTGAGTGAATGAGTGAATGAGTCAGTGAGTGAGTGAGTGAATGAGTGAGTAAATGAGTGAGTGACTGAGTGAATGAGTGAGTGAGTCAGTGAGTAAATGAGTGAGTGAGTGAGTCAGTGAGTGAATGTGTGAGTCAGTGAATGAGTGAGTGAATGAGTCAGTGAGTCAGTGAGTGAATGAGTGAGTGGGTCAGTGAGTGAATGAGTGAGTGAGTCAGTGAGTGAATGTGTGAGTGAGTGAATGAGTCAGTGAGTGAGTCAGTGAGTGAATGAGTGAGTGAGTGAGTCAATGTGTGAGTGAGTGAATGAGTGAGTGAATGAGTCAGTGAGTGAGTCAGTGAGTGAGTCAGTGAGTGAGTCAGTGAGTGAATGAGTGAGTGAGTGAGTCAGTCAGTGAATGAGTCTGAGTCAGTGAGTGAATGAGTGAGTGAGTCAGTGAGTGAATGTGTGAGTGAGTGAATGAGTGAGTGAATGAGTCAGTGAGTGAGTGAATGAGTGAATGAGTGAGTCAGTGAGTGAGAGTCAGTGAGTGAGAGTCAGTGAGTGAGAGTCAGTGAGTGAATGAGTGAGTGAGTCAGTGAGGGAGTGAGTCAGTGAGTAAAGGAGTGAGTGAGTCAGTGAGTAAATGAGTAAGTCAGTGAGTGAGTGAGTGAATGAGTGAGTGAGTCAGTGAGTAAATGAGTGAGTGAGTCAGTGAGTGAATGTGTGAGTGAGTGAATGATGCCCACCGGACAGCAGCAGGGCGATGCCCCCGGTTCTGACCCTCCTGTTCTTGGTTCCGTTGGCGAAGGCACTGAGGCCCAGCACCACTCCAGCAAAGCAGCTCAGCACAGACAGCAGCATGAAGGCCCGCGTCGCGTCCCAAAAGGCTGCGGAGGACAACAAACAAACATCACTGAGCTCATCTCACTCAGCACGGCTACTAGATGATACTAACACTGGACGTTTAGTCCTGGGGTGGATTTACGAAAGCTTTCTAAGGGAGACTTAAAGAACACAACATCTTGAAATGAACACTAAAAAAAGTTCTTAAACTCAGATCTCTAAAAAGCTTAAAGGGGAACATCAGACGTCTGGTTCCTATCACCTCCACTGTGAGCAGTTCTGTTGTTCAGAGTGCAGAGTCGGCAAGTTTCTCTACAATGAACCATTTAAATCAAACCACTCTGAATGATTTTTTACATCCCTGCTGCTAATTCATGCAGATTGTATTTTAAAATTTGATGGAATTCCCCAGAAAGTTCGGTCTACGGAGGAGATAATAATCAAGTTGACCTGAATCAATGAATCATTAATCAGACGTTCGATTCATTCAATTCATTTTGAGCTGCACTGAGCACTCACCCACAGTCAGCGTGTGGGCATGGCACTTGCGATTGATGCAAAACCTCCAGAGGCCCTGATTGGCTGAGTTCCCAGAGTACCGATACTGCATCCAAAAGTCGGTTGCCGTGGAGACGATGAGGAGCACCAGGGCGGCCACACCACACAGTGTGCCCCCGCCGGCCAGAGTGTACAGCATCAAGGACAGGCCTGGGACTGAGTCCACCTACAGGCCGAAAAAACGCACAGGATCCTCCTACAGGCCAGAAAATACACAGCAGTTACAGAGACCTGCAGAGGTGGGCAGCCTAAACACATTCACTTCAATGAAATAATGACTCTAGTAGAAGCAAAAGTAGCCTTGGGTCAGAATATAAAGTATCAAGTCCATAAACTCCCACAGTACTGAGTTCCTTAGAGAACTGCAGTGGAACTTGTTAGCATGTCCAGAATCTATCAGCATGAGAACCTTTTTTAAGACTCTGTTCTTCTCTTTTTGGGATCTTCGTGTTCTAATACAGAACAGGTAACTCAGAATGGCTATAGTGGAACTGAGCAGATTAGAGATCACCTTCCTCACAAATATACTTGTTTGAGTAAGTAACTGAGTATAAGAGAAAGTATTATCAGTTAAAAGTCAGAGATTTAGAAACACAGACGTTTGATCTAAGCATAGAAACAGGAGCTGAGCAGTAAATGACAGGTAGAGATGCACGATAATATCAGAATCATACTGGTATTGTCGAATTATTGCTTAAAAATTACAGATGTTTAAAATTGGCCAATATTTCAAACTGATATTTGATGACGTACTTATTACATTCCAGAAGAGGAGAACATTTAGTTGGGTTACTGTGCATTTTTATCCCTGCAGAAATGAATGTTATATTTCTCTGTAATACTAATCCAGGTAGAATTAGTCCCAACTATGTTATGTTTACGTCAGCATCAGTATCAGCACAGACAGATACAGTTGTGTACTAAAGTTTGAACACCCCCCAGTCAAATTCCATGTTTTGTTTATTTAAGTGAAAATAAGTTACACCTCCTCTACAGAGAACACACTTATATATGGCAAATTTCTGCCAATTTTGATGCACAAATTCTATTTATTTTCAAAAAAAAACAACAAAAAAAAAAAACATGCAATACAAAATGTGCCATAACCTCTGCACAGGCCACATTTTATGTTTTATTTATTCCCACCACTGTAAATAAATAAATAAATTCAGCAAATAAACAGTAATTGTGTATTAAAATGTGCAGATGTGTTCACTTATTTACACAATCAGCAGAACTTGTTCTTTGAGCATGGGCGCCTTAACTTTTGCACACACCTCTATGTACAAAAAATGTCAGATATCTGTGTTGGTCCAACTTTTCCATATCGGTGCATCCCAGGTTGTTGCTATCTAATTTGAAAATGCTTAAGGTCACACTTTATTGTAAGTCATATTCATAAGGCTACATGACACCTACATAAAAACTTCACAACAACTGGCATACACCTCTATAGGCATCTATAATGGCTTTGAATGCATCAGCTGCCAGTTTTAACACTTTCTGGGGAGAAATGACACGAAAATTGAGGAAAGCAGCCCTGATGCTTGTTGGAATAAGCCTTTATTACGTTTATAATGTGAATGTGATTTATGATAGTTGTAATAAAAGGCTTACGTAGATGTCATGTTCCCTTATGAGTGGCCTTCAGTAAAGCGTCACTATCATTTATTACATAATGTCCACTGCAGTGTGAACCCTAAAGCTGCCACCTTGAACCTTGAAAAAAAGAGTGTCCTTTAACAAAAGTGAACCTTTAACAAAGAGTGTCTTTGTTAAAAAGAAGTCAAATCCATTCAGTTAAATATGATAAAGGCTGTTTTTGGTTCCTGTCATCGAACACAAAGCCAACACTGACAAGTCAAATTTGCACGGTTTCTTTGAGTCTTTCCTCAAAAAAAATCACTGGAAAGTCTTTATCAGAAGACTAACATTCACAAGAACTTCTCCACTGCAATTATATAAAAAAGATGGTTCTTCAAGGGTTCTTTACTAAAGAAAATGATTCTATATAGAACCACGAACACTCAAAAAACCCTTTTCATGATTAAAGGGTTCTTTGCATGCCGAAAGGGTTCTCCAGATTGAAGGAGAATGTACTATAGAAGGCTCTATATAGAACCTTTCAAAACGGTTTTATATAGCAACCAAAAAGGGTTCTGCTATTGTTACAATGTCAAGCTTGTTGCAATTGGAGAACCATCAACCTCCATCAATCTGAAGAACCATTTCACCGTTAATCATGCAAAGCGTTCTTTGAGTGTTCATGGTTCTATATAGAACCATTGTGCTGACTAAAGAACCCTAAAAGAACCATCTTTAAGAGTGTAATTTTTGCCTTACCCAAAAAAAGTTTTTGATTTTGACTGTCCTGAGAATCGCTGACCAGTGTTCTTTAAGCCAAATGTGGGTCAAAGTTATAAAATATTAGCATCATAAAACACTGTAGGCCACGCCCACTTAATGAACTCGGGCTTCATGAACATCCGGGGTAAGATACTGAAAAAGTAAACCCTTCTCAGAACAATGCCGGTCTTAGAACAACAGAAGCCAACCTCTCCCAGCATCTCCACAAAGCAATGCAAGTAGTTTAACTTCAGAAAAGCTTGATGTATTTGCAGTTCTTACTGTGATCCTGTAGTGTTTTAACCCTTCAAACTCAGATGAATAACTGTATAGAAAACGTGGTTGAAGGAGTTAATACAGTACTGCACAGAAGTCAGAGACCACCCTTCACTTATTTTTTGAGTCAAAACAGCCATTAAGTACAAGTTACTCATTTTCAGGAGAAGTTTCTGAAAAGATCAAATCAAATCAAATCACACTTATTCTCACATCACATTAACACAGGAAGTAAGTGAAAATCTTAAGTGCATAGCTCCCTTGCAGTACTTAAAAAATGTATGTGTGTGTGTGTATATATATATATATATATATATATATATATATATATAAAACCTTGTATCTCCAAAGTGCTAACTTTACAGGAGAAGGAAAAAACATACTTTAGTTTTAATGTAGGTCAATGGAACCAGACTTTTTTCCAAGTCGATCTGGGCCGTTTCTTTTGGTCTGTTCATCATGAAATTTACACACAAGGTAAAGAGCGACAGGCATTTTCAAATTATACCAAAAACTGAAAAACGACAAAAATGGAGATACAAAGTTTTCTTCCAACAGCAGCGATATATATTTATATATACACACACACACACACACACACACACCAATAGACTCTAATATACACCAGTATTGCACCATTCCAATGTACAGTTTGTACAGTAATGTAAGTTATGAAATATAGATAAGATAATCCACGTGCATAAAGAAGGGAACCGTCAAATTACTAAGTGGAAAAAAACAGGATTTTACAAAACTCGAGAAATAAATTATTAAAAGATTGTAATTTTTTAGGACTCCCAACAACACGTAAGAGTCAAAACTATCAGAAGCTGCAAAACTATCAGAAGCTGCGAATGATGGACTGACCACTCCAGATTCCAGACCTCAACATCATTGTGTTTAGGATTACTTGGACGGTGAGAAGCAGAAAATGTAACCAACGTCTAAGACTGAACTTTGGAGGCGTGTCTGCAGATTTTTTTCAAAAGCTGAAAGTGAGTCTCCTGAAAAGAATGGAAGCTGTAATAAAGGTGAAAAGTGGACACAATAAATGCTGAAAAATGTCATATTTAGATGTTGAGGGTTCTGTGTAATTTACTGCTATACATTATTTCTGCTTTCTTTCCTGATATAACTTGGTACTTAACTTTGGACGTTTGACTAGAAGTTAATTAAATGAAGAGTGGTCTCTCACTTCTGCACAGTACTGTAAATATCAACAAACAGTTGCCACAGTACAAACTCTCCCAGTTCACTTCAGCTGACCAGCGCTCCAGCCTTCCAAGTGAGGCACTGAGCCATTTTGGCCGAAGCTGACCTGAACACTCAGCATTTAACCCACGTCAACCGAAGCTTCCAAACGCAGGCAAATCAGCGGTTGATCTGTTTTATATGGCTAAAGTTCCAGTGAATGTGAACTGTCCACGCAGCACAGTCCAGATCAGCACATTTTTCTAATGTGCCTAAATGCTGGACTCACTGACTGATCTCTCTCTCTCTCTCTCTCTCACACACACACACACACACACATACTCATCCCTCTATTCCAGAAATAGTGGTGTTTGGCAGGCCCATTGCACTGCACATTACAATTCAACATTCATCTGTAAAATAAGAGAACTATTCATGTAGAAGCTAAGAGAAAAGACATGGGGACAGAAAGGCATTGCAAGTGGACGCAAGTGCAGAGGGAACAAACCAGGCCTTTGTCTGCCACTGACCACACTCTTACAAGACAGTGAAATGCTGCTGTTGCGGCAGCTGCCGACAAATCATGCCATTACAGCTAAGTGTCTCTATGCAGTGCATTGTTAGTCGCCACTGGCTTGTCACAGACCAAGAGAAGTGACCCCATAAAACTCCATATAAAGCAGTTCCAGGACAAATATTACAGGGAAAACTGCCAACAGCACTGTTATTATTGGTTATTACCACAGTATTAAGCCAGTATTCCCTCTGTATGCTACATAAAAATAAGATTAAAGTATTAAAGTAGTTTATATGGAAGTGTAATGTACCTCTCTGCTGGTGTCGGTCTCTCGCGGCGCTTTCCTCTGCTGTGTGCCCGTCTCGTCCTCGCCGTTTTAAGCCTTCTACGCTCGGCCGTCATTGTTTCTGCTACAATAGAGGGAATGATCCAGTGCAACATGTGAGATGTGAGGTAATCCCCCACTTTTTCTCGTTCTCTCTCTCTCCCTCGGTCACCCCCTCCCTCCCTCCGTCCCTCGCTCTCTGGGACCCTCACAATCAGGCCAGTCTTCTGCGTCTTGCGACGTAGAACGTGCCATGTCTTATCCGACACTGCCATCTCTCTCCACCCTCCATCCATCCAAGTCCTCCTCAGATAGACGTAAGTCGCTGACCTGGTCTGGGCCAGGGGCGTTCCAAAACTTTCCGGGAGACCAACCAGGAGGCAAGTCAAGCCTTGCGATGACAAGAGACTAAACAATCACCTGGGTGGTCTTTCTAGAGAGGAAAAGTCAAATCGTTCAGATACTGTAGAGGAGAAATCTGCATGACCGAGTCAGGTTTGCAATATAAGCAGAGAACAACAACTGGTCATCCAGAATCACACCGAGTCATCATGGATGACCAAGCAGTTCTCAAATTAGTTGGCAAGATCATGAGGACCTGTAGTTCCAGAGACGTACACTGTTAGGAATAAAGGTTCTGTGCAGGTACATTTTCCGTTCATTAAGGTACAAACAATGTAAATGTTCCCTCAAAGGTACAACAGTGGATTTAAGGTCTGACTGTGAACCTTAAATAAGTTTTTCCAGGTGAAAAGTTCGTATTTGTACCTTTTCCTAACCGAATGTTTTAAAACAGAACAGTAAAATAAAAGCCTGGAGACGAGACGGGGTGTGTGGAGTCAGTACAGCTTAGAACATATAATTTCAGTGGATTATGGTTCAGTTATGTTCCCTGACTAAAGGCACTGAGATGTACCCTTGAGGGTCCCACCCCAGTGACAAGAGGAGTTCTGCCCCAGCGACAGTCTCGTACCTTTTTTCTGAGAGTGTATAGCAGCTCGGTTTTGATTCAGCTTCAGGTGGTGGGATACCATTCATGAAGAGACGTCAGCCAGACATGTTGAAATGTGACTGGAGAGCTGAGTGTCAGAAAGGTTTAGTTGAGTGTCATCAGCAAAGTCATCAGGGACGTGAGTTCCACTGTTCTCCCCACATCAATAAAGTTGATTGAATTTAGTATTTGGTCCCAAATTCTTTTACATGCAGAAACTGACAAATCTGCGACCCACTGACATCACAAGACTCTTCGTAACTGCATGCTCTGTTTTCCCAAATACTTGTTTTGGGAGTGTTCAGACTTTCCTCTTCAACAGGTGGAATTCATGACTTGGCCAGTCTGTACCTTTCCACCTGTTCTATCAGATAAACTGCTTTGTTAAGTGTGCAGAATGCTTCAGGTCATTGTTGTGTTGAATTAGGAACTTCCACCCAAAAGACTTGAAGGTATTTGCTTAGACATGGGAAGACAAGATGCTTACATACACTTGTTCTGCTACCATCACCAGTGCCTTCATCAATTATCTACTGAGCCAGTTCTAGAAGCAGCCTTGCATGCCTAAGTCATGACACTGCCAGCACCATGTTTCACAGGTGAAGTGGTGTGCTTGGGATCATTTGCAGACCCTTCTCTTTCTCCACATTTCCCACCATTTCGATAAAAAAGAATTTTCACCTCATCTGTCCATAAAACCTCTCCGGACCTCTTGCAGCTTATTTTTGTAATTTTTTGTGAAGTCCAGTCTGGCTCTTTTGTTCTTGGTGCTGATGAGCGGTTTGCATCTTGTAGTGTCTTTCCCTTGTAGACTTCCCTACACGCTGTGGATTGTCTTTCAGTTCTCTGGATGTCATGTTTGGGTGTTTCCCCCCTCACAGCTCTAACATTGTTCCTGTCATCAACTGCTGTGGTCTTCCTGGAACAGCCTGATCATTGCAAATTGCTTACAACTCTAGTAGTTTCTTTCTTACTCATAATACAGGGTGTCCAAAAAAAAATTGACATCATTTCATAATCTAATAACATAGCCAATTCTCCCTCAAATGATCTCAAATTTTAATAAAATGTGTAAAAACTAACCAAGTTTAACTTTTAATGTTTTTTTTCAGGTTGAAGAATGCCGTTCACTAGAAATGAAAAGGCATTGTGTGTGTTAGAATATGCTCGAACACAGTCAAACAAGAGTGTGTAGCGTGTATTTTCGAGAAATAAAATATTAAATAAAATAAAATAAAAAATAAAATAAAAATGCACCAACTGGAAAGCAGATTTGGACATGGCACAAAATTCAAAGAGGAAGGCTGTCTGTGCAGGACAAAGGGATCTGGACGACCACCAGTATCGGAAGATATTACATTTGTGAAGCTTTGTGAAATCGGTTATAAAATCTACATCCCTCTGAATTTCTTGTTCGAATTTTGATAAATAGATCTTGTACTGTTCAACATGAAGCCTATTTAATTTCGTTTGTATAGGACCTGTAGTTACTCAGACATTCACATCTCAAATGATGTCAATTTCTTTGGGACCCCCTGCATTCCCTGCTGTTTCCGAATGAACAGTTGTTCTGCAGGGGTCCTTGTTGGTATTTGCTTTAGTCTCATGATTAAAACCGCTTGCTTTTACCCCATTCGGTCAATTGTATCATTTTCATTTTGTTTTGTATCTGTTACATCAACACAAGACCCCTAATGCAATCCATGACTACAACCAATCCTACAGACTGACAGATCCTTTATATGTTTACAATGTAAAGCAACATGAGAAGGGCTACCAATAAAGTGGCCTGGGAGGGTAAATCTAACTGATGTGTGAATTAGCACATTTAGACACATACAAATGTGAGCTGAAATTACATGAATATCACTTTTTTTATTAAACTGAAAATGTTAACACAAAACTGTGGAAACTCACAGTTCAACTGTCTCAACAATCCAAAACACATTTCTGAACATATTACACAAGAATCGAAACCCAATCGATCAGGATATTTTATCAAAGTCTGAATTTCTTCCATCCATAAGGAAAACCAAAGTACAGGGCACATCTTTTCACTCCTGTACAGAACACAACTATGATTAAACAGGCTTAGAAAAGCAAAATCAAAAAGACACAGGTACGTACTCAATAAAACCCACAGAAGCAATGGTTTTAAACAGATGCACCAGTTTCCCAGATTTATAGTATTGTATTTTCCAATACAGGTCCTGGGAATCCCTGCATTGCACACACGCAGGGCCGGACAGGGATTACTCCAACTCCTGGAACTTCCTAATGGAAATTCTCCATTGAAAGGAACATGTATCCTGGGACTAGGCTTAATCTCTGTCAAGAGAACCAACCTGTAATATACCTGTTAATCTGCTGATGACTTGAGTCATCGGAGGCAGTAAAAAAAAAATGTTAAATATGCAGAGCTGTGGTACTTCAGAACCAGGATTGTGAAACCTCTTCATAATTATAAGAGAAATGTCAAAACTGATCTCAGATCAGCGTTAAAGGCTCCCACCATCACCACAGACTTGTGGACTGTAGTCCGTGCTGAAGACCAGTCCAGATGCGAAAGGCCTTAAAAACAGGCCAAGGTGAAGTAACGGCACCCACTGAGTAGCAGTGGGTGTTGCAGTAGTCTGTGTAGGCTGGCATTTAACACAGCTCAGCTCCTTAACAGCAGTCCAAGCTGAGTGTGATGGCTTAAAGGAAAAGGAGAAATGTTCTCACTTTCTGTATGGGCGTCCCTTACCCGTCTTTACCCCCTTACCCGTCTTTACCCCCTTGCCCGTCTTTACCCCCTTGCCACCCTTCCCGCCCTTCCCTCCTTTCCTACCCCCTCTATCCCCTCTGTCCTTGCCTCTCTGCTCCTTTCTCTGTTTGCCTTTTAAGTCCTTCTTCATCCGTCTGTCCACCACGCGGAAGGCACCCTTCACCCCCGCAGGGCGGCGGATTTTGCGGCCAGCGCCCTTCTTGGCCACCACGTATGTGACGTCCCTTTTCTCTTTACCCACACCGGCCTTCTTGTAGATGCTGCGGAAGAAATACGTTTATGATATTAGTGTACGATTAAAAGAACACAGTCATTCCATACTGACTCACCTAAACTTCCCAGTTCATAACATGGATTTTCTTGGAAAATAAAAATGTTAAAAATTCTATTAAATTCATAGGAACTTGTAAAATCCTACAGCTTGACTCCAGCTTTTTTAGTTCTGAATTTTTAAGGTTTGGTCCTTTTCATAATTTTTATGTTCGTATGTGCACTCTAAGCCTCACCAACTGCTTACTTTTTACTGGATTTGGTTGAAATTTATATTGAACATCCAAGAAACCCTAAGGATAATTTGCAACATGTATTCAGGTATTCATGTAAATATTTGTTGCTATCAAACTCCATTCCTGGGAGCCACAGCTCGGTCATTTTTCACTCTTCTGACTCTTTGCATGCAACTCTTGAAGAGCTGCTGTGTTGTATGAGGTGTGTTTAATGAAAAAGAAACCTAATTTTCCAGTGGTTGGGCCCTGGCAACCAGAAGGCCTGTGTTTAAATCATCAAAATCAAATTCGCTGCTGATTTACTACCCACACTGGTAGGTAGATACAGGTAAATGTAAGGGAGATATTTTCTGTGACATTATAAAAAACAAAATAACAAAAAAAAAAAAACAAAACAGTGAACTGTTTTTGCAGCTTAGTTTTCATATATATGGCCTATATGGACTGTATAGACTGTGACATAACTGATATGTTTTGAAACATTAACAGCATACATACACATATATATATATATATATATATATATATATATATACACACACACACACACACACAAAATATATATATATATATATATATATAGCTGCTGTCGGACCAAAACCTCGTATCTCCAAAATGGTAACTTTACAGGAGAAAAAACATACTTTACTTTTAATGTAAGTCAATGGAATCAGATATTTTTCCAAGTAATTTTGAGCCATTTTTGCTGGTCCATTCATTTGTTGTGAAATTGACACACAACATAAAGCAGCAGCCATTTTCAAATAATGTCAAACACTGAAAAATGGCAAAAATGGAGATACAAGGTTTTGTTCTGACAGCAGCGAAATATTACATCAAAAGATTTTATTTCAAGTGAGGTTTTCTCCAGATATGGGAATTTTAATTCTATTACTATAAAATAATGACAAACATCACAGATGAACAATTATTTTCATAGCAAGTAGCCTAAAATGGTAAAGTGATGTGGAACGTGACTGAGCGAATGTGCCTGAAGAAGTGGGAGAGGGTCACAGCTGACGCAAAGTCTGACCTTTTGAGCTGCGCCATCTTTTCTCTTTCAGAGATGTCCACTGTGTTGACCACAGCTTCGGCCTTCTTCTTGGCCTGCTCCATCTTCTTCAGCATCTAGAACATGACAGAGAAACAATGTTATCACTCTAAATCACAGGGATATAATCATATTCCTCCCCCATGTTTCTGCTTGTTTTTACTGCACCCTCTCTCTCTTTCTCCCTCACTCACCCTCCTCTTCTTGCGAGCTTTGGCCTCTGCCAGTCTCTTGATGGGACGGTCGTTGATCTGCTTCCATTTCTCTTTGTATTCCTCCACCATCTCCCGGGTGACGGGGACGGGCTTCTTCCTGTGCTTGTTCTCGTCATCCACAAACCAAGCTGGTAGCTCAGTCATGTCCTCAGATTTGGCAAACCTAAAAGATAAACAAAATCCTCAGTCACTGTGTTACGAGAGAGGCTGAGGGCAGAAACGTGTGGCAAGCTGGCAGGGTGGCGCACCTGTGGAAGGAGTTGTCTATCAGGTCCCTGCATCTCTTTTTGGATGTGGCGATCTGAGCTCCGAGAGCCATGCCCTCAGCATCCATGATACGAGCCCGTTTACCTGTCAACATTTAAGGAACAACAATCAAACAAACCAAAACCTACATACCATTAACTTAAGGAACCCTAAGCATGATATTCAGTAATAACGAATATGAATTATTTGGGTTCTGGCTTTAATTTCATGCCCATGCAGACGACTAAGCCATAAACTCCCCACCCCACAAATGTCACTGTACATACTTATGCTCTCTACAGGAACCACTTGCAAATGGTCGTCGTCATCATCACCAGGTAATTCACCAGATCCTGAGACGCTCTTCATCCTCGCAATCTCTCTGTCGACAAATAAAATACATACATGCCACAATTTATTCACTGTTAGCCAATATAACCAGTATCCTTACAATACGCATGACCGTTTAAGAGTCTGGAATCACAGTTTCAAAGTTTGGAATCACTGTTTTCAGTAAAATAAAAAAGATGTTTTAAACCAGGGTTCGGCAACATGCAGCTCTTTTACTGCCCTGTTGCGGCTCCACAGCAGAATTAGATTTATAGATAAAAATAAAATAATCCTCCTTTACAGTAAAATAAAGCTCTGCTGATCGTTCAACACAGTTTAACAATAAATGGTCTTAAATGCTGGAGTTAATGTAGAACTGCCCTTTAACCCATAGCAACACAGACAACAATCTCACCTAGCTAGTATCTAACGAAAAGACAAAGAGAGAGATTTAAGACGAACGTCAATAATTTGGAGATGAATGGACTTCTTTGCATTTATAAATCACTCCAGCTGGTTTCCTGATATGTTTAATCTGCAATGAGAAACTGACAAACACTAAAAAGCCGCCAGGCTGAAGTCTAACGAGTTTCTCATTAGAATTTTCCACATTAAATGGTGCCGCAGTTACATTCTGCCACCTCAGGCACCATTTAAAGTGGAACAGGAAAATAAGAAGCTGGCTAATGAGAAGCGACTTCAGCCTTGTGGAATGTTGAGAGACGTTTTCAAGACACTTTCACTTCGGAAGAAAAGTTTCCTGCTGGAGATGCAAGAAAAGTGACTGAGCTAAAGCTTAAAGCAAGGTAAGTCTGCATTTTTGTCTGTGTTATCACTTTAACCTATACTAGCACATTAGTACATACAGAGACGTATTTACAGACAAAATGGTAAAATGGACATAAACTGTTGTGGCTCCCAAGGTGATTAGATTTTTTATTGAAAGGACAAAATGGCTCTTCTTAAAATTTGAGTTGCCGACCCCTGGTTTAAATACATGTATAAAATGATTCTATTATGATGCTACTACTCTGCAACTTTCAGATTATAGCTAAAGGTAGAAAGCTTTAAAAAGTTAAACGTGCCTTCCAAGATTCTAAAATGATTGAGAAAGCTGTACAACAGTGAGAATAGTTAGTTCAAAGTTATTTCAAAATGAACACTCAGACCTTGTATTTGAAAAGTGGTGATTGAATCTCAGGCAGACAGTTCATTAAGGAATTAGAGCTCATAGAGAATTACGGTATATTATTTATCATTCAATAATATGTTCCTAAAAAAAAAATGAAATTGATTAAAACATCTTATAACACCTTCTGGTTAGTATTTCAATCTACATTGTATAAATTATTATTGAATAAAATAACTGTAATTATGAGGACGGTAAGTGATTCCAAACTTTTGGTCAGTAGCGTAAGAACCCACACACCGTTATTGATAACATGGCCCAGTGATGTCACACTTATATACACAAATATTACCTCTCATCGTCACTGCTGTCCTCGTCAGAGTCGTCATCGCTGTCCTCTTCATCTCCTGCTTTCTCCTCTGTTTCCTGTGAAGGGGCGGCTGGCACCTCGTCCTCAGCAGCCTTAGCCTCCTCTTCTGCCTTCCTCTTCTGGCCTTTACCTGAAACGGACAGCAGTGAGTAAACCACCTTATTCCTGAACACACTGTGCAGCACATACAGTACACAACTCACTAATAATCTACCTGCAGCCCGCTTGCTGTGGAGCAGCTGGGTCTGTTTGAGCTCCTTCATGGCATCTACATCTCCATCCAGACCCAGTTCAGCGAAAATGTCCTGACACAAAACAGAGTCATCATTATTACCACATAACGGGACATCAGATTGCTATCATGTGCCAGAAGCCAAGTTTCTATCCATCTGTCCAATTAAATTCAAAAGCGTTCTACAAAAGAATACGAATTTCAATGTGATAAAACCTCAATAAACTTTGTTTACTTTAAGTATTATATTTTGTGGAGCTTATTAGCAACAGTCGGACACTTCCACCAACCTTACTAAACCACATGCTGGTCTCTCGCTCTCTCTTTTCATCTTTACTCTCCAGATCTACCAGCAGCTCGTTCCCACCCCCCTCCGCATCACCTTCCTCCTCCACAGTGAAGGAAACCCTGGAGAAAACAGAACCGTATGTAGACGGGTAAACACTGAGTCCTCATACAAGATTTAGGCCAAAATAAACACTAAGCAAGAAACCAGCCTTAAAAAGTGAGCCAGCGTTATGAAGAGCCTCAGTAAAAGAAGAGTGTTAGGTGTGGCTGAGGCAGTGCAGGTCACTCACTTTTTCTTGGGAAGCTTCTTCTCATTCTCCTCAATTTCCACCAGATCCTCCTCATCCAGGTCTGAGGCTAGCGAGACGAGGTCACTCTCCGAGTCCGAGACGTGGACGTCATCCTCTCCTTTCTCGTCCACCCATGCATCTGCTCCCTTCATGTCCCCCAAAGCTAACTCACTCAGACCCTGCAGGAGCAGCAAAAAGAGGAAAGTTATTTTTCTTTCTTTGCCAAATGTTTTAATTGGGTTCAAATGCAATAAATGGAAATTAACTTGGGAGGAAAACGCAAGAACAAATAAAAACAAACTACACTGTAAAAAGTGTCAGATCTACCTAAAAATGACTTCATGTGGTAACAAGTAAATTAAGTTTTATTCAACTCAAAAATTACTTTGATTGAAAGAAACATTCATTCAAAGTATTAATTTAGGTTGAATAAAACTAGTTAATTTACTTGTTACCACATGAAGCCATTTTTAGGTAGATCTGACACTTTTTACAGTATACATAAAAGCACAAAAACTAAACAAAAAACAAAACCAACACAAAACAGGATCACAGTGAGACTGTCTTCCTGTCTTCCAGGTAAAGAGGGAAAACCCTCTTCATTAAAAATTCTGATAGGTTCCATATTTATCACAGTATAAATATGTATTTTCAAATAATAATTTTAAATGTGTAAGTAAACCTTTTTAGATAAACAGTGGCTTATTACTCGGGGACGTCCATTCACCTTTTCATAATTCCATTTTTAACAATCGAAGTAAATATGAAATATTTTGTGTAAACTGATCAATATGTAAATAAACCAATGTCAGTAGTGCGGGTGTCTGTACAGGCACCTGAATGTATCTGCTGCACCATTTAAGGTGGACTGGGAAATTCAAATAGGAAGGCAATTTCAGCTTTGCTGAATTTTTCAAGTCATTTGTCTTATATGTGTGTTGAAAGCAGAGAAGTCATATAGAACGGGAGTACACAGCATCGCTACTGTCCTCTACCTTGGATTTTCATCCGTCTTCTGCCTGCACGTTTCTATTGGTTGACGTACCTCCACGTCAGAATGCGTTGCAGCAAAAGTTGAAATGGTTTGAACTTTTTCAACATTAGACAAACCTTTTCACTGCACACAGGCGCGTTTCTACAAAGTGAAAACAAAGTGCACTACTTCAAATGCAGTGAACTAGACAGTGAGAGGTGATCGATGTTCTGCATTTTCATTTAAAACGTGACAAACATCCCTGACTCAGTATCTCAGCTGAGGAATTTAGTATTAGTCTGGCTCGCACTGGACTTATCTGGACTTATTTGTGGCACACTGCTCACTACTAGCGGGAGGGGTGGGGGCTATTATCTCCAGAGGTTTGATAGTCTTTATATGTCCCTATTAGCTACTGTACTTAGGTGAGAGTACATTAGGAGACGTTGTCCCAAAAAGGACATTTATGAACGAGGAATCAAATCTCAGAGACAGAGGATGGTAAAGCGACAAGCATGAGAATTCTCTTAAGACTCATAACTCATAACGCTTACTGTGATGCATTTGAACACGGCATCACTGAGGTCTCGAGTTAGCTGAGCGTTTTCTCTCCATGATAGTTGGAGGTGGTGAAATGGGATATTATTGGTTGATATTAGTTTCCCCTGACTACTGGTGATGCATTCAAAAATCAGAGGAGCAAAAGGTCATTACATTTTGAAGGAAGATTACAGGACAAATCTTAAATCTTATGATCTTGTTAATCATGATTAATATAAGCAGGGAAATGAACTAACAAGGTAAAAAAAAAAAAACAACAAAAAAGTACATTTTGATTTTGTGTCAATTTTAAAATCAAGTATTTCTGAGTGTGTCACTGACAGTACCTTGGCTTTTTTGATGGTGCTGAGGGAAAACATGTTGGAGTCGCCAGCGTCAGCAATGGAGACTCCAGGAAGGTCCATCTTGAGCTCCGTTCGCTCTCTCTGCTTCCGCCGCTCTTTCAGGAGCTTCTTCTTTTTACTGCAAAGACAAAGAAAAAAAAATCAGCAAAAATACCATAAAAATGTAGGCTAATCTGAAACGGGTGTGACTGAACACAAACAGCACACACAGCACAAACAGCACACATACACATCTTTTTCAGTGACGTTATAGTTGGTGTTTCCATTTACAATTTAAACTGCTTAAGCAACAATACCAAAAATTCTTAATTCCTAATTCTTAATCTTTACTGTTCTAAAAGTTCATAAAAGTCATTGAGTGGCATGTAAAGTGTGGCTAGATTTCATAAAATTACAGGGATACACGATCATCATGGTATCATATCAGTATCAGCAAATATTGGCTTAAAAATGCTCTGCATCAAACAGATGTTTCTGATTTCTTAAATCGATTTTTGATTAATTTATTATACTCTGAAAGAGCAGAGGGTTCACGCAACACTGGGTTGCCGTGCTAAAATATAACGTCGTTGTCCAAAGAAAAACATGCATCTTCATTTTTATTGATTTTTACTTTTCTATTTGAAAGCTGCTGAGAAAATTTCATGATGATTGAGTATTAATGCTCCAAAATCACTTGGAATAAAATCTCTTTACATTAACTTACATTAAAAGTTAAAAGTTTTTTCCCTCTGCTGTAAAGTTACCATTTTGGAGATGCTTCTTTTTCTTTGGACAGAGATGATAAGCATTTTAATAATTTTACTGCACTTGTATTTCTATAGAAATTGGTGCTAAAATGTTTCTTCACTATTGTCGTGCCAATTTCTGCATTTTTTCTACATACATGTATCAGCATTGGCAGATATGTGCATGACAAATATCAAATATCAGCATCGGCCCAAAATTCCCACATCAGCTCATCCTTAACATGAACTTTTTTTAAACCTTGCGTGGTGTTGATGTGTTTGTTACTCGGTGGTCTGGTGGACCCACCACATTATAGTTTTTTTTTTTTTTAAATCAATACAGCCATAACAATTTATGTAAGAATACCAGATGTTTAAAATATCAGAAGTGGCCAGTGTAGCGTTCTCCTTTAGCAGCTGTAGCCAATCAGCAGCATGTCCATGTTGTCCACCCTCACACACACACACACACACACACACACACACACACTAACAGCAGGCCATGTAGGAGGAGAACGGAGTGAAGGACACAGCACCTCCACACTTTTACTCCCCGCTGGTTCACCCAACACCACATGTGTAATATAAATGTGTGGGGGGTGAACAGAGTGAAGGCACTGAAAATGGGTTATTTTATATGTTCTTCACAGAAAATGAACAAAGGCCAAGAATCTGAGGTTGAAATAATAATAAATCGCATCATTTTTTTCTTTTAAACATTGAAAATGGGTCCCACAGACCTGAACACCATTCGCTGTACAGAAAACATACCGTTTCAGCTCTGCGATCTCCTCTGCTTTTAGCTCGGCCAACTTCTGCTCCATCTCTTCCTCTTCTTCTTCTTCTTCTTCTTCTTCATCCTCCTCGTCTGTCTGCTTCTCTTGTTTCTTTTGTACTTTCTTCTTCTTGCGGTCCTTCTCTGTATCACTTTCGTCTTCGCCTGAGCTCAGGCTGAACCAAACAGAAACATACTTAACAACAGTTTGGTGCAACACTCACTTCTGTCTTTAGCTGCAAAGTCATCTCGTACCTGATTTCTTGGTCCAGCTGTTTGGCCTCTTCTTTCAGCTTTTTGGCCAAAAACCTCCTCAGTTTGGACCTCCATGACAGCAAGAGTCTGATTTCCAAACAGAGACAGAAAAGGTTTTGCTGCAATCATGGAACTGAATCTGAGAGTCAAACATAAAGCAGCACCTCTACTGAAGACTCACCGCAGCTCCTTTCGTCCTAGAACCTTGATGTCTTTGCAGCACTCTTTAATCTCAGAAGATGTGGCTGTGTGGGACTCCAGCTCTGGGTTGTCAAAGGTGATCTAGAAAAGGTTATAGAGGGTTGAATTAAAGGTGAATTAGTTTGAATTTGTTTGTGGTTGAGTTATACATCAATTAACACAGTAATAAACACTCCGTTTCATTTATTGCTCAAAAGTTGTCAAAATCTTTATTTAAAATTTTACAGTGTGATTTTAAATTTTACAAACTAATAAACACCAAAAAGGTATTTTTGGTTCTGTTATTTGATTTTTCAAAGATTCTGTGAAAAAAATGTCAAATTATTTGTGTTGAGAATTGGTCTACACTTTTAGAATATGATGAACTCTGGATATTTACTTTACTATAACTTAAGTCTCAATGCTACATAGCTTTCTCAGTTACTTTAGAACCTTGTACAGTTCATCATGTTTATCATTATAGACAGATTACTGAGAGCTTCTCAGTGTCCTACAAATTATTTGAAAGTTATGAAGTTTCACAAGACTAACAGTTTTATATTACTGAAAACAAACTTTTGAAGACTTGCGTATTTTTGCTGAGAAATATGACAATATATATCTTTATAGTAATAAAATGCACCACAATACCATATGCTTTTTTGAGCATATCATTTATGTCATCAGTATTTGTAGAAAACTGACCAACTGCATGCTTTATTATAAAGAGAACAAAATTTGTCCCATTTAGCTGGAGTTACTGCAACAACACAGTTTACCAAATATAGAATAAAAATGATTGTCTTCACAGTTTTTGCATCGCCTTTTTTAGGGCAAGCAGAATATATATGTATATATACACACACACACATATATATATATATATATATATTGTGGTGGTGAAGATATTACAAACAGTTCTTACCTCACTGGTTTTGCTCAAGAAGTCAACAGGGTTCTCTGCCTTTAAAAACTCAGTGACTGAGAAAGGGTGATGCAGCGTCAGGTCTCCTTCATTATAGCCTTCTGCCTATTAAACAAACAAAAAACAAACAAACAAACAAACAAACAAACAAACATCAATTTCAATAAAACACAATGCCATAAGCTTATGTAAGCACAGTCTTAGTGAGAGCACTTACTTTAGGCTTCTTCACTGTGACCAACTCCTTGACCGTCTTCACTTGTGTTTCCACCTCTTTAAAGGCATGTTTGGGGTCGAAGAATTTATTATCAATTTTGTCAGGAGCCAGAAAACCTAACAGGGAAGGTTAGAGGTGTTATTACAAATAAACATGCAGGTATGGAAGAGAATCGGCAAACAGAGACTCGTTACCTTGACAGATGACAAAGATTTCGGCAGACTCGTTACGGGACGCCTGGGGCTTGGTGGCCTGCACCTTCTTGAAGAACTGCTGGAAGATCCACATGAGGGGCTGGTAGTCCTTGGAACGAAAGACTTTGGTGACAAAAGTCCCTCCTTTTCCAAGAAACTCACAGGCGAGCTTGAGCGCCATGAGGGTGAGATGAGCTGAGGAGGAGAACCAGAAGGTGAAGAAAATGTTTGATTATCTCTCAGCTGGTTAATATAAGTGGTCATTACAGTGTTATAAACAGGCAGCAACGACTCTTTTCCTACAAAAGATCAGACTCATAAATAACAAGTTTCACAATCCAAAACCAGCAAATACACAGTCCATTCGAATGGGAATCAGAATGAAATTTCTTCTTTATATTAATTTGTTTTAGAAATTTAGGTGTTTAGTCACTATAAAACACAGCTTAGAGCAGAATTCCTACCTAAAACTAGCGTTTAATATGTTATGGGTCATGGAGTGTAGTACGCTGTAGTGCAGTGTTGCATTCTTCTGCCACATAGTTTGACAGAATCTGCAATTTTGTATCCTTTTTGCACTTTCATTCAAGGGTTCTCTCACTACAATACCCAGCATGCATCACGCAAATACATCATAAAACCAGTGGGAATCCTTTCCAACAGCATCAAAGAAACACACTTATGTAGAGGCTAATACACACATTCGGCACCCGTGCGCCAAGACTAGCTTTCTGGTGGGAAAAGCCGGCTAGCAGGGAAAAAAACATTTCAAAACACCCTCAAATATCCACCACCAAAGGACTTGTAGTTCACTAGAAGATCCTAAAACCTTCAAGATAAACCATCTGAAGGGTTTTACAAGTCTTCATATTTCCTAAATTAGAAAATATATTAAAGACTATTCTGACACCAATGTAGGAATCAAATAAGCAGGAATCAAATAGACATATTAAAAAAATAATAGATTTAAGCATAGCATAACCACCCCCCCAAACACTTCACTCTGACACGACACACCCAAACCCCTAGTTTTAATCACTGACTGTTGTTTTCACCGACTGTAAACGAGAGGCACAAGCGGCGTATCAGTTATGCAGTTTTAAATTTCAATACACTGTTTTTGATTTTTCTTCTGGTGCTTCTGGTTCACATATACAATACAGTGCAAAAGTTTCAAACATAAGAAAATTGGATTAAAAGGTTATTTAAATAGGCAGTAAATGTATATGTGCATAAATACAATAACATCAACATAAGTAGTTATTTTAAATAAATCAATGCGTTCATTTAATAATTTCCAAACCTCTCCTCCAAGAAGCCCAGTATTAATTGTAATTAACATCCAATACCTGCTTTGGCTGATAAATATTTAATGTAATTAAATCAGGTGTGCTTTTAATAAACCTACAGGATGGCTAAAGGCATCCAGAGGAAATCTGGAAGCAACCTACGTTCTTCAGACTAGCTTACAATATCAACTACTTTTACAAAATAAGAAACTCTTGTTACTTTTTCACTGTACATTACTTTATTTATTAAATTATAAGTGACGTTTCTACATGCATAAAAACAAACTCACTCCTGAGATAAATGGTTTTTAACAATGGGCCTCATTCATCAATCATTGCAGCACAGTTTTCACAAAGACTCTGACGTTCACCAGTGTTTTCTTATTTAGGATTTGTTGTTAGGTAAGAATAGAATCTACACACACTCGAGCACAAAGGTGTGAGCAGTTCCTGCGGATTAAGAACACGTCATGAATCTGACGTAGACTTTTTCTTAGGACCTTTCTCAAGAACAAACTTAGGAAGATACAGGTGAATGAGGCCCAGGGTGCGTAGGTGCCTGATACTTTCACAAAGTACAGTACATCAGTCCGACTACTGTGAATACCTTGAGAGAAGGCATCGTGCTGCCAGTTGGCTCCCACGTTGGGCGCTCCATCATTAAGCACCACATCAACTTTCCACGTCTGCAGCTCTTTTCTGAGAGCCTGTAGGACAGATAACAAATCAATCAAGAATGAGCACCAATAAAAAGGCTAAAGGTGTCTGGTTCTGCTAAAAAAACGACATCAGTCCTACCTGTCTGCACTTTTCAGTTGTGATGTCCTCCTGCAGGGTGACTACATTGGGGATGGGTTTGATGGGGACCAGATCCACTCCTGATCATGAGGAGAACGTAAAGAGAACATGATGGCTAAGATAGGAATAAACTTAACCACCATATTAATGGCTACAATTACAACCTTTCTTAAAAATGAAGCCTTTACTCACCAATGATGAGACTGGACACAGGCATAAACTTGGACGCCACTTGCAACCTATACAACGTCAAATATCACACAAGTTATCATATGTGGGACAACACTACCGTAGACCTCTGGAGTCATTCTGTGGTCAGTATCATGCTCATATTAGCAGATCCAGGTCTAAGCTGGATTTCTCTATGGAAAAAATCAATGGGATTTTCCACCGAGTGTCACTGAATCCTCAGAATTATGAGGTTGTTAAGGAGCCAAAATATGACTATCGTTACATCCATGCTAACAGCAAAAGTCTAAGGCCCAGTCCCATTTCTTATTTTTACCACTACCCCTTGTTTTTGAGTGTCACCTTGCCCCTTGGAGTTACAAGTTGTAGTGGTTGAAATCTTCCTCTATGAAATGCGACCCTCAAATAAAAAAAGAGCATTACTTCATTAACAGGCTACCAGCGCTGCTCTGTAGGCGACCCTGCCAGTCTGCAGTGACAGCAGAGGAGGTTAAAGTTCAGCTCCTCACTGCTGGGCTTTAGCTACATTTAGGGCATCATATGCCTTCAGAAGGGGGGAAAATTATTTATTATCACCCACCCCTAATTCTTCAGTGATATGAAGCTGAACTCAGTTATTCGCCAGCTTCTTGTTTGAATTTTCCCGTTCCACCTTAAATGGAGCAGCAGCTCTGATGCCTGAGGTTCCAGAATGTAACTGCTGCAGCATTTAAGGTGGAACGGGAAATTTACTGAGACATAATCTACTGAGACATTACCACTAGCGATCTTTTTTGGTAGTTATGAGGAAAAAGACCAAAATACATTGAAACGATATTAAACCAAGATAATAAACTGTTTATCATAATTTTTAACTGAGAAAATTCTCACATTTGTGGGTTGCTTTGGTCGCTTGCGCAGCCATCAGCTGGTTTTTCTCATAACACTGTTTGGAGTGTGCCTGTGAAAAACCTCCGTTTGGAGGGTCATGTAGCCCTAACACTTCACCCTACCCCTCTGTCTCAACTAACATATGACACCCTACCCCTAGGCACGAACACAGAAAACGGAGGGGTAAGGGCTGAGTGGTAGGGTCGATGGGTGAAATGGGATTGGGCCTTAGTCTTCTATTAAACTTCAATGCTATAACACAATAACACCAGCTACACGTAATGAACTCTATTACTGCCAAAGCAACTTAACTATCACACTTCACATGGTTTACCAGTCTTATGACGTTGATTCAGTGTGCAGCAGTTTTAGCTCGCCTGTAGCAAAATTCATATTTCATAATGACCTCGTAATACAGAGAATCCAGTGACACTCGGTGGAAAATGTACACAGAGCAAAAAGTGATGGGTTTGAAATCATTTTAAGTTCTTAACGGTGGTGATTTTCAGAAATCCCATTTATTGTTGCCATTGAGAAATCTAGCTTAGCTTCTATTACGGGCTTGACGCTGACTACTTAATGATGATGCAATTTCAGTAGTTCATTAAAACGCAGCAGTGCTGGCTTCAGCCGGGTCATTTGACAGATCTATCAACTCACCATCCACCTGGAGCAGCGCAAAGGTCCACCAGAGCCCGGGCTTTCTGAAGAAACTGGAATTTACGATTCAGCTGAATGAGCTTAAAAGATGAACGGGATCTATAGCCTGAAAAACAAAAAGACACACTAAATTATTCAGACACAGAGTATCCCTAAGAATCTATTTAAGAGGAATTCGTTCGATTTTTTAGGTTTCTGCATAATTAAACTGTTAAAATTGCTCGGAGTGGTTTGGTGTGAAATGCTCTGTTCTAGAACTGTTCACAGTGGTTTTGATAGGAACCAGACGTCTGAAGAGTTTAATGCCTCTAAAAGTTACCCCACAGAAAGTTATCACACAAATTGCCTGATCCTTTAGAACCTCTAAAGTTCTATGATAATATTTTGTATGACTTTAAGCCATTCATGGTGGAGAGAAACATGCAGGAGGGCGTAAGGCAAAAATAGCACCTATATACCTATATTTGTTTTTCAGATCATCAACATTACATATATATAAACTCAGAGACCTAAGGCCTCATTTTCAAGTGTGCTTTAATCCAGAATCCAAATCACACAAAATATCATAGAGAGGAAGGTGGGGAGAAGAAAAATCAATAATAATAATAACAACAATAATAATAACAAAAAATAAAAGATGTAATAATTGAAAGAGATACAGCAATTTAGTAAAAATATTAAAGCACAGTAAATAAACAGGTAAAATCGATCAGTTAAAATACAGATTTCCTCACATTAATCTGGAAACACTGAATCAATTTCATCTTTACAAAAAAAATAAATTAATGACTTCATTTTAAAACACGCACAAAACTACAAACATGTCCAGACTGCGCTGGTAGAAGCAGCATAGTGAGTAAAGCGGCTGCTGTTTCAGCTCTGTGGTCAAACTGCTGTCAGCTAATAGCCAGTTAGCTTTCGGGCAACAACAAAGACAGAAAATCACCTCTTTCAGACTGACTCACCCGTTTCCTTTGCCAAATGATAAAACTTGTCCTTTCTGGTCTTCCCGACCTTTAATTTCTTGCCCATGTTTACGGTTTGAAGTGTTCAGCTCGGTAAAGGTGCGGAGCTTTAAACGTGTCGGGCTTCTCGGCGAGGAGACACACGTGGGGCGCAGCGGCGCGGAGTTGTGGCGTCACACTCACTCAGGGTCTGTTCCAAACGGCGGACTTCTGCATGCTGTAACACTTGTACCCCACCTAGTGCACTCGAATAAGAACACAGACTTGTAGTGTAAACCGACGGAGCCCTGCTGGTGACATCCTGTATAAATAGATCCCTATGCGTGGCCGCGACTTAGTAAGGCGTGGGAATGAGATGATTAAGTCATGGCCATGACTCAGTAAGGTGTGGAAACGAGATCACGGCTTAATAAGTCATGGCCACGCATTAGGATCTCGTTCCCATGCTTTACTAAGTCGTGGCCACGACTAAATCATCTCATTCCCATGCCTTACTAAGTCGTGGCCATGCATTATTTTTATTCATACAGGATGTCACCAGCGGGGCGCCGTAGTACTCTAAGTAGTGAATTCTAGTAAGAAGATGTATGGAGCACTCAGCTCAGTCAGTGTAAAGCTGTTATGATGGGGACAAATGAGCTTCTGTACTTGAGTGAAAGCTGAAATGAGGAATGCATGTAGTACAAATATGACTTGAATACTTCTCCCCTGCTCAAGTAATATTTTACGAGGAGTATTTCTACTTTTACCTTGTCAGGCCTAAAGTAGTTTCAGCAATTTAAATCCAATGTGAACTGGAAATCATAATGTATCTTCATTCCGTATTGTGACATATTGTGAGTGAAACACTCAAGAAGGGTCCATAAGCTTAATATATATATATATATATATATATATATATATATATATACACAATCAGGCATAACATTATGACCTTGTTTCTACGCTCATTGTCCATTTTATCAGCTCCACTTACTATATAGGTGCACTTTGTAGTTCTACAGTTACAGACTGTAGTCCATCTGTTTCTCTGCATACTTTGTTAGCCCCCTTTTACCCTGTTCTTCAGTGGTCAGGACCCCCATGGACCCTCACAGAGCAGGTACTATTTGGGTGGTGGATCATTCTCAGCACTGCAGTAACACTGACGTGGTGGTGGTGTGTTAGTGTGTGTTGCGCTGGTCTGAGTGGATCAGACACAGCAGTGCAGCTGGAGTTTTCAAACACTGTGTCCACTCACTGTCCACTCTAATAGATACTCCTACCTTGTCAGTCCACCTTGTTGATGTAAAGTAAGAGACGACAGCTCATCTGCTGCTGCACAGTTTGTGTTGGTCATCCTCTAGTCCTTCATCAGTGGTCACAGGACGCTGCTGGCTGGATATTTTTGGTTGGTGGACTATTCTCAGTCCAGCAGCGACACTGAGGTGTTTAAAAACACACTAACACACCACCACATCAGAAGAACTACAAAGTGCACCTATATAGTAAGTGGAGCTGATAAAATGGACAAAGAGTGTAGAAACAAGGATGCCAGATCGGTGTGTATATATATATATGCCCCCCCACCCCCTCCCCCAAAAAAACTTTACATAACAATAAATTAAGATATTTTTTTCTTAAATGGATGATGAGTGACCAGAGACGTAAACTAACCAAAAGTTAAAAGGTCAGTTTTGATTTCATTCTGAGGCAACTTTAGGGCGCGATTGCGCAAGTGAGCTAGTACACCACACTCGCGCTTATTGGAGCGCGGCCGCGGGGTGTCAGCGAAATCAGCGATACATATTTCTGTATGTGTTTTGCCCACATTCAGATTGAACTCGTCTATGTTTTCTATATTATATAAAACGACACTAAGGTTCTGTTGCGTGTACAGTAAAGAAATAAGAGTAGCGCTCTCTCCGTGTTCGGTTACGGGCGGGTAAACACCGTGACGTGATCAGTCGGCGTTTCTCGTAGAAGTCTCCAGATAAACATGGCGGCGTACATGAGGCTGTGGGCTCCGTACCGACGGGCGGTCAGCAGCCACACTCACAGCTTCAGCGCGGAGATCAGAGCGCTGTTCCGGTGCCAGACACCCGGCCAGAGTGGGTGCAGCTCCAGCCGATCGTATGCGTACAGCTTGGGCAAAGAGTCGCTGCGCGGCATCGCCTCTCCTCCAGCAGCAGCGGGGATCAGGACATGGAGCCGGGTGTCCGCTGTGCTCCCCCGCGGCAGAGAGGCTCAAGGACTCGGCTGGTTTGTCAGCTGCGACCGCAGGGACTTTGTGATGGGGAACAGGGGCAGCGGAGCCGGCGGGCTGTCCGGGGAGGACGGGGCAGAGAGCGGCGGGGCTGGCGAGGATGATGCGGGCGGAGATGGAGCTGGAGGCGGCTACGGAGCTCCTCAGATGACCGCTCTAACACCCATGATGGTGCCCGAGGTTTTCCCCAACGTGCCGCTGATCGCGGTCACCAGGAACCCTGTCTTCCCTCGGTTCATCAAGATCATCGAGGTGGGCAACCAGATATCTGTGAGCTGTAGCTGCGCTCTGCTCTGCCTCTGAAAGTTTCTTAAGGTTCAATCTTATAAATCTTTCATTTGAGTTATATTACTTCATAGTTTTCAGTGATCCACACTAAAACAGCAAGTAAGGTGAACATAAACAGCCCAGTAACTCTTAATAGGTTCAGCTGAGCTGGCAGTGCTTCACTTTTTCAAATTTGACTTGGGTTAATTTCTTATTTTGTGACCTCACTCAATACACCTGTTCTTACTGCCTCACTGTCTTCACCTGAATACAAAACACCTTCATGGTGAGAGAAACAAAAACAGGTAAAACGCAACACAACTGAACATTTTACCTTGAGAATATGCTACGACACAAAAATATCGTCATTGTGTGAAGAGAACGAATGAAAAAAAAAACAAAAAACTAAGAGTTAAACCAAAAAAACACTAAGAATGCTGGGAAGCTTTTGGGGGAAAAGAATCTGTAGAACTTAACCGAATTAATTTAACGAAACTAGTTTTACTTAAGCAGCTAAGGCCTAATCCAAGAAACAGTAAAGTTTACTAGATTTCCATTAATACGTTTAAAAGAGGAGTAAAGCAAACCCCAAAATAAGTGCAGTTGTTCTATTTTACAGCGTACAGTGCTCAGCGATATATCATTGTAATGATGTATTGTGATGTTGACACCATGATATTGCTTTCCAGAGTAGGGCGATATGGCTCAGGTGTAATGAAGACACAATATGCATTGTGATATTTCATTTTCCTGAGGTTTGATAAGTTTGACTAGACAAAAATGGACCAGAACTGCCGCTTTAAAAAACTCAGAATATTTGATAATAATAAAAACTATCAAATAAACATAAAAATCATTGATAGTAATTATGGTAAACTCCTTAAATGGCCAGGGCCCGCCAGCAGGCCCAAAGTTTTATTACACACTTCTATAACCTAAGAATAGCTCCACCAGTTACACTGAGGTCCCTGTAGTTACTGAATAATAAGCATTATTATGTAATAAGCCTGGGATTTAAGGGGTTAAATGAGACTGATGTTAAGTGCACTTTCTCTGTAGTGAAACGTGCAGTTTATCAGTGTTTGTAGGTACTGGTGAAATCCACATTATCATCAGAAAAAATGTAATTTATTATAAAAACGACAAAATATTGCACAATATGCATTATGATATTTCGTTTTTCTGAGGTTTGATAAGTTGGAATAGACACAAATGGACGAGAAGTGTCACGTTTAAAAATATGACCAAAAACCTTGAATAGGATGAATTTTATGTTTCAGATACTCAAAATCTATTAAACAGGACTGATGTTTATTATGCTCTTTGTAGTAAAGCGTGCAGTTTGTTAGTGTTTGTAGGTACAAGTACTGGTGATGTCCACAGTATGATCAGAAAAGTACTAAGTTATCACAAAAACGATAAAACAGTGTCAGAATTTGACAATATTTCGGAGATATATTTGATGGATAATAAGCATTATACTGTATTTAAAACTTATTTTCTGGAGAAATGCAAGGGGATGTGAGCCACTAGTCAAAAAAAAGTCAAAATGTGAATTCTTCTGAACGTCTGATATCTGTAGAACTGCAAACGCTTGAAAAACTGAGAAAAGCATTGGGAAGATATCTACAGTACCTGGATATTAAATCGTCTTAGATATTCCAATCCTTAAAGAACCTTTAGTGTCCTTGTTAGCTGTTCCCGAGGGGTAATAGATGCCAGACCTACCTTCTCCAAATTTTATTTGCAGCAGCCATCAAGGGTACAACAGTTAACTGGCTAAAAACTACTGCCCCAACACGATTCCTGGATTCAGCGCCTATGGGAATAACATGATATGGAAGAAATAACACATAATTCGAGTCTACAGAGGCAGAGTTAACAGATGGACTCCAGCAATGTCAATAATGCTCTGAGAATATCATGTAATTGAATTTGAATAGGTAGTAAGCATCAGTCCTCTGGTTCCCTTACATCCCCTTTCCCTCAGTTTAATAGTTGTTTTAAATGAACTGTTAGTCACTAATGAGTATATGCCAACATCAGTGTGAATGTATGTATATCTGTACAAATCGCTGCTGTCGGAAAAAAAACTTATATCTCCATTTTTCAGTTTTTGCCATAATTTGAAAACGCCTGTTGTCCTTTACATTGTGTGTAAATTTCATGATGAATGGACCAAAAGAAACGGCTCAAAATGACTTGGCAAAAAGTCTGGTTCCATTGACTTACATTAAAAGTAAAGCATGTTTTTCCTTCTCCTGTAAAGTTACCGTTTTGGAGATACGAGGTTTTCTTCCGACAACAGCGATACATTCCCCACATTCTAGGGCCTGACTGCGAAGTGGGGAAACTTTTTATGATCCTGTAATAAACAACTAGTTAAAAAGAATTGCAAAAAGCTTATACTTTGCTTCATAAGCAAATGGCCACAGTCTAAGACTAGAGATATCTGTATAGTTTCACTTTCTGTGCTTAAAAAAGTTAAAAAGTAACTATGGCTACTGTCAACAAGTTGTTTGGACCCACCAACCTCCTTCAATACAATCTACAATTCAGCCAGTGATTATATCTGTGATATTACGCCCATTAAATGGATTATTTTTATAATTTGGATTAGTGCATTTTGTACATGATAT